TAGGGACTAATGATGAGAGCTAGGACACGAGATGTGTCTTCAGATCGGCTATGGAACAGCTAAGTTTGCTTGTATGCTTGTGGTGACCAAATAACCAACCATCGTAGGAGCCTCCCACTTTTTCTGTTCACATAAGCTTATGGCTAACAGAAAAGAAGGAAGAAACAGGAAGAAAGAAAACAACCTTGTCTGTCACGGTAGTTATCGTTGCGTTCCATTTCTCGCTGTTGCCAAGTCAACTGATCCAACTCAGCTATCTGCTCACCTCGACTCCATTCACGATCATTTTGGCGGTAATCGCGGTTGTTATATCCCTAAAAATAAAAAGTCAACATTGCCACTCATCGAATTCGTGGATGAGTTCGTTCATATTATAGTCTAGGTCGCTGCGGATGATGGGGCGTGTCAGGGAGGATTAGTCGGCGCGGCGCCAAACTCATGTTGTGCTACTTGTTGAAGCGGGTTTGGGACAAGAAAAAGGGTAGAGCTATGATACAGTCTTGCCAATTGCTCGCTTTAATAACCGGAGAACGGCTTGGCATCGCGCCATACCCATTTCTCCTGACACGCCCCTCCGTCCGCAGGAATTAGACTTCTTAAACAAGTTCAACACACATTGTAAAAAGGGCTGAGTGGAGAGATGCCTGAGATAACGGTCCGTCTCATTTGAAATTTCACACAACGTGATATTACCCTGTACGAAACGGCGCTATGTGCTTGTAGAGGGAATCCACGTCGTGGCCAATGCTGACACACAGGCAGCTTCGCACCAGCAGCTAATTAACACTACTAGGTGGTGCAGCAGCATAGCGAGCCAACTCGCTCGAAAATTGTCAGTTTCGCCCTCTCCCCCCCCCCCTCCATGATCTGCACTACAACCTCATGCTATGATAGCTGGATATGCTCTCAAAAACCTCAAGGGGTACTTAATGCTTAAGGAAATGACTCGATGGATAAACTCTTTTTGAGATGGCTCACGACACCTACCGCCAACAACAAAATCACGGTAGGATTTTGGATGCGAATCAAAGAACTGCGGGGGACAGTCAGATACAATAAAGGGTTCTGTTTCTCACGACAACTCGCCGACTCGGAAAGTACAGGAAGTTTTGTAGAGTTGTGCCGAGAGCCATTACCGGATCTGACTCCGAAACTGTACACTCTATATCCCAGAGTTAAGGGGTCCGTGGCTGCGTACTTCGTTTAAAAATGGCGGCAGCTGCGCTTTTGGGCAGATATCGAAGTTTCAAAACAGTTGTAATCATGTCTTTGTTCAGTACGGGATAGGGTAACACTTGTATCGAATGGAATATTCCCGCTAACAATGCATCCTACGCCATAAAGTAAAGCACCTGGCCTTGCCTACTCCATCGGTCGGATGTGGATTGTCATACGGTAAGCGGCGCTACTTAAGTTCTGCTTAGCTTCACCCCTACCTCAAAATGATCGTATTACTCATCCAAATTGTTTCGCTCATTCAGAAGCAGAAGACAAAAAAATAGAATATTAATCACTTGAATCCGTTGGCGCGGTAGCTGTTGTTGTTGTTGGGAAGATGGACCTGGTCCCGCGTCGTCGCGTCCGTTACGTTCTCGTTCACGGTCGCGGAAATTCTGCGCTCGTTCTGCCTTGTCACGGAAACCGTCGCGTGGCTGATAAGGTCGATTTCTTTGCCAGTCGTCACGATTTCGGTTGAAACGCCGTGGATCATAGTTGTCTCGGCGATTCTGAAATCCAATAATACTATGCGCAAATTACTGAGCTGATATTATCGTAACCAACCTTATGGTATCCGTAATCGTCCTGACCACTCAGCTGACGCCGAGGTTGCTGCCGTTGCCCTACATACCGATCCTGTGGCTCTCTATCTTGCTGGACAGGAGGAGGTGAGCGATCCCCGTCTGGGGACTCATGGTCATCATAACCACCAGTTTGGAAATTAGCAGTCGAATGCGAAGGGGGTATTGCTTCCGAATTAGAAGCTCCTAACGCCTGCTTAACGGTTATCAGTAATGAAACGAATTCAAACACGCAAATATAAAAAAATTACCGCTTTTGGAGCAGCCTCTGCGAGCGCACTCATATTGGGTTGCGATGACGTGCCCTGCAAAATACAACACATTGAAAAACAGAAATCAAAAAATAACGGTGAACGAAAACCGACCTCCCTATGGGACAAACGCAATGCAGCGGCTTGTTGACCATTGTGGGAGCTATAGCTGGAAGTAGATGATGAGCTGGGAACTTGATGTTGTTGATAGATGAACTGCTGTTCCGGTAGAACACAAGTGTTGAACTTCATTTGTTGATGATCGGTCTTCAAAACGAGCGCCAGAGTTTCCAGAAGATCCTTAATACGGGATTTCTTCGAACTGCTTATTACTGTTAGTATTTGAACCAATTCATATTGGCTTACAGCACTCTCCAATATGCAAGAATCTCCAATACTCTGCAAAAAAAATGACCTTCAAACACGGCAATGGGCGTGGAGGTTTCGTAATTTGCGTTAGCCTGTCGATTGAAGCACCGGGTTTCATGTGGACAGCGAAATCGACCACAGTAAGGGCTGGCTGGTTATACACTGTCTACTGTCGCCACCTACGATCCAGAAATATCATTTACGGTCGCGACGTGCGCGCACATGACGCCACGGGCGCGGTGAATTGCGATTGTCTTGAAGCGCGTCTTTCTTTTTATCAAATTGTTCCCCACGCCACTAGCTGTCCTAGGACAGAGTTTGAAAACTATCGTTGCAAGAACCCACCCCGTGCGCGCGCCCCGCTCCCCTTCACCAATGTGTGTCTCCCTCATTCCAGCGTCCTATACTTTTGCGCAACCTTTATCCACTAATTATCAGTTTCTGCCTCTGTTGTAACTTAATCACAGAAATCTTCCGGATTCGACACCGATCATTCCAAGCGCTCCGCTCCGCCGGCAAATGGCGAGCGCTTAGCCTAGTTTTCATGAGATCTTGTTCCCATTCGCTACGCCATACCTAAGACCCTGACACGGGGACGTCTTCCGCCTTGCTCCAAGTGTGATTGAACTTCCGCAGCAAACAGAAAAGCACGTTGGCTGCGTTTATACTTTGCGGCAGCCGTAGCGTAGCGCTTATCCAGCGTACGCCGGGCGGCAGTTGTCGGGGGAACGATAAGGTATCGATCTACGCGTTCCCAGCTCACGGCATGCGTAACGCTAGCGCAACGGCTAGCGTCACGCTACGCCGTTTACGCCAGCGCTTGCGCAGCGACGGGGTTAGAAGGTCTAGAAGAGGCATAGAAGAGCAGGAGAGTATTTCGTACTCATCCTATTCTCCTAACGATCCGGCTCCTCTGATACGCGCCCCGCTGGCCGGGCGGGCGCGCTTTCCGCCGCGCGTATTTTCCTTTCACATATTTCACACTCTGAATCCGCCTATTATGTTCTGTAACTCACTTTTTTTCCGGTGTCTGAAGTGTTCTGGAACCTTCTACAGAATTTTTTTGTTCCCGACTCCGCTCCAGCTCGGCTGCGCTCCGCCCCAAATTTGTGCCGCGCACAATCGCGGCCACCGGCGCCTCTCTGCTAACCTTAGACCACTTTTCCCGGTAATCTGGAGTGTTGCTGGAACCTGAGCTACAAACTTTTTGAAATGTTACCCTGGCAGATGAGGGCAAGCTCCGCCACTGTGGGCGGGTTTCAACACACTTATGAGCAGTGCCCTTATTCGCGCAGATATTTTACATTCTACCTGAGTTTTTTTGCGATTACAAACAACTTCAGCGAACAGGGTTACTTAATTTACGAGAACACCGCCCACCATGAGTACGCCCATTTTGGACGTGCCGTTGCCACAGTTAGTCCTGGCGACTCTTTTACTAACCTTAATCCCTTCTTTCCCATCTCTAACACTGCTTCGCGAAGCGAATTATGATTACTTTTGGCTGCGGAGCCCGCAAACTACGGGCGAAGGTGCCACCGCGCCCACGTGGGCGGCCTTCCCATAGGTCAAGATCGTGCGCTTTTTAATTTCTTCGTCGCGCAATGCCCTAACCCATCCCCACCTTTTGACTCGCGACCTCGTCGCAAGTCGTTCTTCAGGTCGAACCGAATTTCGGAGAGACCGATTAACTTACAAACAAAGCAAACAAACAGACAAGCGAAATTATACAGGGGGGGGCAAAAAAAAAAGTCATTTTGGCCATCCATGACTTTCCAAGGCGCTTATAAGTTTTTACACCTTTATTAAATTTTTTTATCGGACATTTTACCTAACATATTAAAGAGCACATTAAAATAACTATAATGATATCGCCAGCAGCCTTCTGGAGGAGCGCCATCGAGAGATCGGCCAGCGCGAAAGGTTGGTTTTGGGGTACCGGAGTTTGAGCGGCGAGGTAGTCCGACTTTCTCGCGCCACCGTAGACCACCCTATCGAACCCGCCTCGAACCAGGTACATTGAGGGGAATTCAGGTCTAGGGGCCATACTTTCAATATTCCATCTTCTTGCCAGGTACAAGCGCCCTTTAATGCTCGAAGTAGGAGAGAGTTTTTCACCAAAACCCTTCGATTCCATGTGGCTGCACAAACTGTTAGCAGTACACGGTCTCCAAGAAGGTACGAGCGACAACATGTGGGGAGGATATTCTCTCGAAGTGTGCTGTGAGGTGGTGGAGCGGGAGCAGCGCTACATCTTCAAGTCGGGGTCTATAAAGAAAATACTCGGTCTTCCATTCCCAGGTACAGGCCGTCCACACCCATCGACTCGCGCCTCGCGAAGTACGGTTGAAGATCCGATGTCCTAGACACCGTAAGCGAACGGTTGCCGGTACGCTGCGTCGACTGTCGGGAGCTCTTGGCAGATCAAGACGTACTGACCGCGGCTCCAGTAGCTATCTGTGGATGACTTCATGCTCAAGAAATTTTCGCCAGCATGTTTTGGAGGGGCGACGTGAATTCCAAAGGTTGTTCTCCAGTCGGGCCGACTGGAGATGACTTTCATATTTTGCGTACATGAAGGCCGATTGGCGGCACGCGTCGCTCCAGCTTAGAGGAGAAGATCTTGGGTATCTTCCACCTGGTACTCATATGCCACTATCCCTGTCTGGGCCTGCGGAAAACTTCGTTGATATGTGGCTCGGCCGAAATTGACTTTTTTTTTGCCGCCCACCCACCTGTATATATATGGGGTGATTAGTGATAGCAAGGCTAGACGAGTATAGAAAAGTAGGAGAGTAGAAAATACTCCTCCCGCTCTCCTATATCCTCTAGCCGCCCGTTGCCGCAAGCGCTAGGGAACGCAAGTGGAAACCGCTGGGAACGCTAGATCGTATATATCCTTCCCGACACTTGCGCCGCGCGTAAGCTGGAAGTGCTACGCTACGCCTGTGCAAAGTATAAAACGCGAGCCTTATACATACCAGTACACTGCATACTGGATGTTGCGGCAGCAAGATAGTGTAAGTAACGTGTTATAGACTCATTTTCTCCAACTGTTTACAGTTGAGTCCGCTGCAAAAAACTTTCAGAAATAAATAAAATCAAATTCAGCGCACCAAAATCAGTTAAGAATTATGCTCATAAATACAACTTCTTTCTTGTAATTGAATCAAATACTGAATGAGAAACAACTTGACCAAATCCTCCTTTTGCGGATTAATTAAAAATCTGCGGTTTGGGATCGCAGCAATGGAAATATGGACATGACTTTGAAGCGCAAGCTGTATGAGGCGTTTCATGTCCTCAAAAAAGACCAAAAATATAAAGCAATCACAAGACATGTGAAAAAAAAAAATATGATACAAAGACGACATTAGAGCGACCTGTATAAAAAAACGGAATTCCCAAAGTACTCACAGGGTAAGTAGCTGCGAACACCGATCCAGTGCTCGATGGGATACCACAACATCTCGAGAACGCCTCCTCGTCAACGTCGCCTTCGTCTGCCTGAGTCCGGATCAAGCTAAAAAATTGAAAAATGGTTATTATTCCGCAAACATCTCGACGCTTTACCATACACTTACTTATGTCAAAGTTCTGTATCGTGCTCTTTCTTCAGACCTCATTGATCCAGCAAACAACACAACAGGCGCAAGGTGGAACGAACAGTAACTGTACGTAGCTGAAAACAAAACAGCTGAAGTTGCCATTCACAATTTTGAATATGAACGGATGGAGAAATCGAATTTCCCTTTTAAAAAGTTCATGATACCACCCAGTAAAAACAGTTACCCTAACACATTGGTATGACTTCCCATAGCCTAGATGTTGCTGTTTGGAGGATGCTCCTTTGTCTCAACGAGTTTCCAGTGCGCTATCATGACGCCACAGGGATCGCTCATACCCTCATTAAGTTGAAAGAGTGATTGCTGAAACGCTATGGCTAGAAAAGCCATTTAACCGAGAGGGTAAGGGCGATCCCGAAGGCGTGATGGATAGCGCCCTCGCCCCGTCAGCGGCAGATGCGGGTTGAAATCCCGCCTGAGGTCTGACTTTTGTCCATAGCTCAACATCCCTGTGATAACTACGCATCTTTGAAATCACCTCAAACCAGCCTTTTATTAACACAAATTCTGGTTTATATACAGACAGATTCAATACAGCTGCCCCAACTTCACATGAAATCTATTCAGAAAACCGCACTGACTCGAGTGTGATTGTGGGAACACCGACATGGAGCACTAAAATGCACTAACCGTCAATCCCTCATCAATCTTCGCCAGTTCATGGAACGCAAGATATTCAATTACGGGATCTTCGGAATCCTCTGCAACATACTGATTGATGACCTCACTACGTTTTGAAGCAGCCAGTACTTGTCGCTTTATCACTGACGACGGATGAAGGGTAGCTGCAGCTTCAGTGCTGAAACCAAACAAATTTGATGACTAGAAATTGATGGGACGACTTATTCCAACTTATTCCGACTTATTCAAGTCTCATAGAGGAAAGAGGACGAAATTACGAAGAAAAAAGAAAAAGAACGGAAAAAAAAATCCAAAACCACAGGGACCTGGTTCTGATCTTCTTCAACTTATTACCAGCTCGAACAAAACCGATACCAGGATGGCAACCAGCAACGATTGCTGCTTGGACCATGGGCCAACACGAGGAATAGCTGAACACTCCGTAAAACTTTTTACAAAAAACTGGAATAAAGAAGTGAGAACAGACCGATTGTATGTCGCATCACGTAACGCATTCATCGCATCGCCGTCGTAGGATATCATTCGCACACGACGTAGCTCGATCAACAACTGGCGACTAGAAAGAGGAAAAGTCATAATTGGAAGCTGAACACAAACATCTCTAATGTGCGCATGTGATGACTATAAGTCGGTTCTGAATCAAGAATATTGGAAACCTTATACAAGATGACAGAAAACTGATATTCCCAATGCTAAGGTATAAATATAGTAGTATAGGACCATTTAAAAGGAGATCATTCTAATTTTTGTAAGGGTCGGAAAGTTTTTCAGGGTAACCGAAAGGGATTATTATTGCATTAAAACTTATTAAGTCGAGGAACAAAGCGAGCGTACGGACGAGAAGTGCTTCAAATTAGCTTCAGAATTTGATAAAAAAAAGCGGAGTATGGCTCAGTGATTGACCACGATAGGAAGGTCAGAAAGTGGAACGAAAAGCAAAGAACTAGACGAAGAGGAAAACACATAACAAAAATAATATTCTGGCTCCAGGTGAAGTAGATCCCTCCTTCATCAATGACCCGTTCCCAGTGCCTCGAAAGCATTTAGACCACTGGTACCTTATTTTTTTTCATCACGACGTTTTCCGTCGTACAGTACCGTCGACTGGTCAGAACAGTTGAAATCGCACGGCTTCATGCTGGGCGAACAAGGCGATGAACCCATGTGTCAGTAATGTTTGTGCCATAACACTGCCCTAAAATACAGTTACTCGGAGACTGCCACTGCAGCGAGCAATGGTGGCCTTCTTGTAGTTGTAAGGTACCATCCATTTGTCGAGTGCAGAAAACCTTCGCTATGATGATCATCTTTGGACCCACGCAACTCCTCATGGCAATGTTCAGGCGGCTTCTCATCTGTATTCATATAAAATTGACGCCTGTGAATTTGGCTAATCGTGAATGGCATCTTATATTTCGGCCTGCGTTCGTGCTTTCACAAGAAAATCAGGTACCCATACGCACACCCTCTTGTCCATCCTCAATTTATCGAACATAATCCGGACAGCAGTTGCAGCGGAGTATCAGTTTTGTGGGGAAGCTAAAAAGGATCCAGCCTCGGCGCAGCTTGTCGAGGGGGGGGGGGCATTTTGCTTTCCACAGATAAGTCGACCCATCTAGGCAGCCGTTTCTCGAGCTGACACGTGTTAGGATAGTGGCTAGACGATCTTACTTCAGCTTCACAAGAGTGCACAAGTTATACCAGAGTGAGATTTGTGAGCCGGAACTAGGGAAGCAATGATAATACAAAATGCCCCCCCCCGCAAACAGCGCCTCCAGCTTCTGTGATCAGACCTTCAGTTTGACTTCATCCACCTTTTTTCTTGTGCAGGATCAACATTACGGACCATTCACGACGACAATTTTTTTTCTTACTCCCTTCTTCGGGCTCTTAAACCAAGTCTTTTATAATAGTCGCATTTCAAGAACACCATTTCATGCAACTACTGGTCTGCCAAAGGTTGAATTTCAGTAGCGCAGTTTCCTTTTATTAGGCCTGATTCGAAAACCCGGTGCTGATTTTGAGCACTTGTTCTGTTTTCACTTTCTCTAGATTGTCTTCTGTGACTAAGCTAGCCAAATTCCACATATAGGTAGCTGAAGGTAGTAGCTTTCAAACGATATTGAAGCCTACAGTATGAGCTGGGATATTAAGATAGTTGGTTTACAGATCATGAAGATAAGAGGTGGCAGATTAAAGCTGACAAGAATGAGTAGATAAGGAATAAATGAAGCAAACAGATGGCATAATGGCGACGAAGTTAGCAGAAAACAAAAAAATTTTGGCAACTTTACCAGGATTCTCAACGCTTTGCAATCAGAGGAATACATAAAATTAATTTGAAGGAGTGATTTAACCGACCGTATTCCTGCAATCATTCTCATCGCTGGCAGAGACAAATAATTGGCTCGACAGAACAGCATTGCTTCCTTAGGACTCTTTTCGTTGAAATCATTGAATGCCCTGAAAATCGCAGTTCCCACTGAGGCTTTCAAATTAACGAACCGTTAAAATACAATTTCCGAGACTATTCAGGTGATACCTTTGTAATGCTTTGAAGGCAGTTGGCACGATGGTTTCCTACTAAGCGTAAAATGCTAGTATGGAGCTGTATAGTGGGGCAATGGTGAAAGAACGGAAACGGTCAAAATCCTGCGAAGAAAAAGGCTCCGTTCTTAGTGACTTGTAAATCGACGAGTTTTTTCGTAGGCATCTTACCAATCACCGCTACCGAAGATACGGCTGCATATGTGTACCCATGTATGCATGCAGCATCACGGCCGCTTCATACCAATAATTTGCTTAGCAAATGAATGAATACGAGCGTCAGGAACGGTCGTCCATTTGTGGGGGGCGGCGGGCGTTTGGGACGTAAAATTGTGGCTTGATAGGGCCCTTATAAGGGCACCTTCCTCGGGGAAACCGCTATGCAGCGCCTGGCCAGGGGCGCGGAATTCTATCCTGCCAGGAGGATTGATGCTAATCGTCTTGGGGGATTTATCGTGCCAACTGCCTTTAGCTAGTGATATTCCCTATAATCATAATCCTCTACATCAAATTATGGTACTATGAGAACTCTTATCATCCTCAGTAATTCAATCACACCCCAACAAGAAAAAAACCACAGGCCTGTTGAACCTTCAAACGATGGCGCGAGTATCCACTATACTACTTCTCCCTCCCCCCCCCCTCCCTTCCCTCTATGTAAGTCTTTCAAAATTCCAGAGAAACGCACCTAATGAGCGTGATATGATCAGAGAAGTCTCGTTTACCGAAACTATCCCGCTGACGATTCGATTGCTCTCGTTCCTCGGACATCGCCAGTATAACTGAATGAAACAAGCACAATAAAATCATCTTATTGCCAGCAACAGATTAGAAAATTAGATAAGGAGACAAAACAGAAAAACCAAAGATAGTCCACTTACATGGATCCCTGTGCGAAAGCGCAGCCACAAGTGTCACGACCGGATTCAGGCATCTCAGCACCACACCGAACAACAATAACCGTGCTGAAATAATAGAAACCCATCGATCAGAAAAACGAATAAATAAAAAATACACTACAGAAATAGATAGTTACCGAGTTGTGGATCCAAAGGCAGCTGCGCCACCAGTCTTCCCAGGTCTGTCAGCTCGGGCTCCACATACGTTGCTGGTACTGCAGTCACATCGATGTCTGAGGTGCTGGCTTCCGAATACAATGCGCCCAGTTGCTGAACGATTAAAACATTAGGTTATTTGTTTGGTTGAAGAAGGTCATCAGGTACTTCAGATTAGACACCTAGAAATTTGCGAAGATAATTAACACATTTCATTTAGACTACGGGACGGTCGTACAGACATGTGACATGAAAACCTCCAACGAAAAATTTGCTGCTCAGAGCAAAAGTAAAAGCCCTGAATGAAAGGTACCAGCAAACAACCTGCCGACACAAAAAATACATTGAAACTAACAATAACGCAGAGGTTTCATGAGATTTGTTGAAGACTACAAAGAATAAGGTCCTTTATAGAAAGCAGCGTCCTGTAAGTTGCGCATCAACCGTGACACTTTGGTGACACCGCTACCAAAAACAGGAAGTTACTAAATTTGGGTCTCAAGACATCATTCCTGCACTCCCTCACTAACTCCGTGAGTATGCCAATACATAACCCATTGGTTCTGTAAGACACTCACTACTTCGCTGCGAAAAAGTCACTGACGAGAACTGTGCAAATTGACAGGAAATTTGCTTCCAGACAAACCCGCTGGGAAGCGACAACCGCATATCTTCTGCAGTTAATGGAATGCTCAACAAAAACTGAGGGTTCTCAGTCCTTTCTTGACGCGACGTGAGCGAGACGATCCACTTTATTTCCTGCATTCCAGACCTTTGCAACTAGCACTTCTCTCCAGCCTAGCATTTCTCCCATGCCCTAAGTTAGGGCCTTCAGCAAGAAGCATTTCAGATGCGAACCTCGAGCTGAAGTTCAATAAGATCAGTTTTCGATTTGTATCCATTTAGATTCGGTGGAAAGAAGTTCGTGAACTATACGAGATGACTAACGATTATCTCGCAGCAGCACATGCTATTAGGTTGTCCCAAAAGTTCTGGGACATTTTCAAACTTTTTTTTTGAATTAAGTTTATTCCAGTGGGAAGCAATTTTGATCAGCTATATACAGGGGGGAGGGCAAAAAAAGTCATTTTTCCTCCATGACTTTCAAGGCGCTATAAGTTACACTTTATTAAATTTTTATCGGACATTTTTACTACCGTATTAAAGAGCACATTAAATACTATAATGATACTCCGCCACAGCCTTCTGGAGGAGCGCCATCGAGAGATTCGGCCGCACGAAAGTGAGTGGGTACCGGAGTTGAGCGAGATCGTTGATTTCTCCGCCACTGTAGCCCACCCTGTTGAGCTCCGCCCGAACTAGGTATATGAGTGGGTACAGGGTCAGGGGACATATTTCAATATTACATCTTCATCAGGTAGGAAACGCCCTTCCATTCGAAGTAGGCGAGAGTTTTTCCAAAACCCTTCGATTCCATGTGGTGGCACCCAAACCTGTAGCAGCACAAGGTCTCCAAGAAGGTATGGGCGACCACATGTAGGGAGGATATTCTTCTCAACTTACTTGATGTAACCGCCAGCGCTCACCTTCAGTCGGCGTCTAGAAAGAAAATATCGGTCTTCCCATTCCAGTTACGGCCGGTCCACACCATCAACCCGTGCCTTGGTGAATGGGGTGAAGATGATGTCCTGGACCGTAGCGACGTTGCCGGAGCTGCTCGATGTTGGAGGTCTTGCAGATCAAGAGTATTGGTCTCCAGGTAGCTATCCATGGGTTGATTCCATTCAAGAACGGCTCCTGCTTATAGAGGAAGATCTTGGGTATCTTCCGCCCTGGTACTCATATCCACTTCCTCTGCCTGGGCTGCGAAAACTTCGCTCATATGTGGCTCGGCCGGAATGACTTTTTTTTTGCCCCCCCCCCTGTATATATGTCGCCTTCATTGGCAACTTGTTGCCAATCACTACGCAATGTGTGGTTGCCCTGCTTCCAGAAGCCTCTTAGTTATGTGGCCAGAAAGGCAGCTGGGTCATTTTTGAGGTACTATCGAAAATTGTATTTTTTTTACCAAGAAGATGGCCGCTTGGGATTAGTTTAGATGGCGATCGGAAAGAGCTAAGTCAGGGCCACACGAAGACTGTGGTCGAATTCCCCAGCTGAGCTTCGGGATCTCGAGCAGTGTCGTTTTCGAAATGTTTGACCCTGAGGTGTGGTGGAATAGGCAAACATGGCTCGGTTTTGGGACCAAATGGTAGAGATTTTCCACCCCACTCTGCAGTTGATTACAATGGGGCTCCCTGGTTACCACAGCGTTGGAAGGAGGGAATTCCGTTTCGAGAGCGGAGAGAGGTACCCCACCACATACACAGCCTCACCGCCCTACTGGATTGATAGGATTGCGCGATCGGTTCTGCCCTGTCTGGGGGATCTAGCCGCTAGCGCTCCCAGGAGTGATTCAACTAGAGGCACCCACTCCATATCCAGTTGCAGTGCTGTTCAACCAGCCCGTACAGCGGAAGCGGAAGAGAAGTTGTAGACAGTACCCACATGTGCTCCCCTTGGAGTACTGGTCAACTGATGAGAAAAATTCTGACCCAACTTCAGAACTTTTCTAAGGGAGCGAGGCCTTCCCTCATTTGTGCTTTGGGACCAGTCAAGGGTAAGGACTAGGTAGCAAGTTGATTCGTACGAATTGGTTACACAGTAGGTCCAAATCCAAAGCAGGCGGCCTCCTTGGACGAAGTTTTTCACACGGATAGAAGTCACTAAAGCAGAACCTATTGAGCCATTCCAAAGCCGTACTGTGGAAGCTAACATCAAGATCTGAATAAGGGAAATGCCGCTTGTGGCTCCACCCACATTGTGGCTTGGTAGAGATTCATGTAGCGAATTGTGTCGAAAATTATGAATTTCAATTACCGTTTTTCATATGGGAACAACGACTGCGAAGGACGGTGAAGAAGCTGTGGAATGCTTACCACACACACTTCCCATAGACCACATAACTGAATCTCGAAATGGCTGCGGAAAAATCTGATACGAGATCCAAAAAGTGTCCCAGAACTTTTGGGACAACCTAATATTAACTAGGGGTGAATTCGATGAGAAAGATGATTGCGTTGTTTGCTACTTGAGATCCCTTTCTGCACCTATTAGAACCTTCAGAAAATGGTTTTATGGTTTGGCTTGGAAGGCTTGAAGTATGAGTAGAAAGTTATTGGATTCTCACTTCTAAGAAGGCCATGCTTTTGTCGACAGCATCTGCTAAGGGTGGTTCAGGGGCCATTTGAAGGAACTGTTTCACTGTCATGTTCTCCGGAGCAAACATTTTCGCATGCAGGCAAACGTCCTGAAACGACAGCGTATAGATACTTTTGGAAATTGAAGTTCGCGGTTGCTTCTGCTAAATCAGGCATTGGATGTCAGAAACACATTTAAACAACAATGTAACCCCATAGCAAGGAATGAAAACAGTTTAAAGAGGATAAAAAATTCACGTGAATTGCAGTTCGCTGCATTTCAGCCATTTGAGTCTCAAGCATCACTTCATAATCCTCTATACTGTAGAGTCGGAAACAGAAGCCTTCACGACACCGTCCAGCACGACCTGGATTGAATATGATTTCACGCTATTTCATTGCTCCTATAGACAACTCCGTTATCACATTTGAAAGAAAATGCCAGGCATCTGGTCGCTTGTAGTCTTACGACACTGGGTATATCCAGCGCTCGCTCATTGACGAAATAGATATTATCACTCAAATAAGAAACCAAATTGGGCCGCATTTATACTTTGCAGCAGCGTCGACCAACGACCACCAGCGTCAACCAGCGACCACTAGCGTCTCAGGGTCAAGCAGCGTCAGCGACTAGGAAACTATAGATATCGATCTAGCGTCCACCAGCGTCTACAAGCTACCATCAACGACCAGCAGCATCCGATAATGGAGAGTATGGGTCGACAGAAGGGTTGCAGACAGCTAGTATTATCCATCGGCCCATAATCTCTACCAGCTGTCTGTACTCTCCTATCGTCCGTACTCTCTACCAACAACGTACTACCCTCCTATCTCCTTATACTTTACCAGGTGTCTGCTATTCCCTGTCGCCCCATACTCTCTATCCCGGACGCTGCTGGTCGCTGGTGGACGCTGAGGTCGCCTGATATCTACGCTTCGCCGACGCTTTCGGACGCTCAGAATGCTAGTGGTCGCTAATGGACGCTTCCAGTGGCTGGTGGACGCTGCTCCACAGTATAACGCAGCCTAAGAGCTTACAGGGCGCACAAGTTCTAGCTCTATAGTCAAAAAGCTAATTAAGTGTTTTACTTTTCACCACTCCATTTCGACTTGTTTTACTGTGAGCGTTCCCAGCAATATACTTGTCTTCAGCCGGCCGAATTCCGTCTGAGATGTGTCTTTTGCCCGTAATGCAGCACTCCTGTGATTTCTTTTGGAACGCTTGCTGTGGCCAACTTCAAAACACGTAAAAGCCTCCAGACTTGCCGTTCACTGCTAAAATTGGTTGATCGATTGGATCATCACGTCGAACGTGTGAGTGTTGCAAGTCTATGGCACAAAAGCAACTGAGGTGAGAGCGTAATAGCACCCCGGGGGCCGCAACGGATAGCACACTTGTCTGGTTAGCGGTAGCGGGTACGAATCCTGCCTAAGGTCTAACTTTTACCCGTGATCCAGCACTCTTGTGTTAACATTCTTTTTTTATTTATTTTAATCTTTTATTTTTTATTATAAACAGTGACACCAAAAATTTTCCAACACAAACCTGCTCGTTGTTCTGCGTTGCTCTTCGCTATCCATGTTACCTTCAGTTGGCTGATTCTTGACGTATGGTCGTATGTCTTCTCTTTCACCTTTCCACAATCGATGACAAACACCACGTCGTCGATCGTCAGCGATGCTTCAGCGATGTTGGTCGACAAAATCTGTGGGGAAATCGTAACGATACAGTGAGCAGTGGAACTGGTAAACAAACTTTAATTCATTTTGTTCATTTCATGTGCATTTTGATGGATGCATTAAGAACTAACTAATAACTTACAACTTTCCTTTCAGCTGGTCCGACTGAATCAAACACTTTTTGTTGGTCGAATGAATTCATCTGCGAGTGCAGGGTAAAGATCACCGGACGTCGTCCATTCCACGATTCATTTGTAATTTTATCGCGCATCTGGACGATATCATCAAACCCAGGTAGAAATACGAGGATGGCACCTGAACTTTTACTTTTGATAAGTAGGCGGTGATAAAATGTCACTAAAAATGACAAAGGATGTGTTTTGCAGCATGTAAAAAGGTGCAATAAAATAGGCGATATTTGAAATTTTCGCTCCATTTTCCGATAGCCAGGTCAGATCTTGGTCGAAGTGTTTCTATGAAGGCAAATTTCGTCAAAATTTCGCTATCTATGGCAAGATCCTCTCTAAGAATCCCCCTGGATTGAAATGAAAGAGTCCGCTCCACAGCTAAAAATAGTTGCTATTAGGCCACACACAACACACATACCATCTATGCGACTATCCATGCAATATTTCACGACAGCCATAGCAAGATCGAGATCGACTGCTTCAGCCCATTGCTGACCACCGCATTTCAAATACATCTGAAAAGAGTGTTGACCATTCGTAGTACATCACCAGAGAGATATGCAAAATTTTCGTGGTCTTTAAACTAGACTTACATAGGAGGTCTTCAAGTCACCGGGCCCATTTTCAAAAAGCTTGTTGCATGTTATGGGGACCACAGAGTGTAGTTCACCTTCCCTACGCGTTTATGGGAAGGCCAAAGAAAGGGCGGTTAGTAGACTAATGGGTCGTATCTCATAGATCACAGACTTTTACATTCCTGCTGCTCTTATTTTCCTGCGTTCATATAGGTGGGAACCTTTAGACTCACCAAAACGTCTCCGAACGCATCCGAATCTTTTGTGAAAAAAAAGCAAAAAGGTTTCTGTCACCGACTTCGTCAAAAACATGAAAAACTTTCTTCCACCCCTCCTTGGCATTTACAAGAGCGGACAGCGAAAATGAACATTTCTAGGGTCCCCTCATAAACATCTACAAATACAACAAACCATTTTGAAAATGCGCTTCACGACCTGGAAGTGCTCTCTTGTTAGAGACACGCTGTACGATTATCGAAGTGGTGGATCCTTCCTGCTCCCGAAGTGGGAAGATCGGCAGTGGTGTGGCGCTCCTGGTATTGGGGGTGCAACTGGAGTGAAACCAGAGGCTTGCTTTACGACTATTTTACAACATAGTTCATTAATCTCAGTTTCAAAGATTTTATTTGTAGTTTTGATTTATTGGGCCAAAGCTCACTACTTACAATATTTTATTGAAACTGGCCTATGTTTTGGCAGGATCGTCACCACCGATGAGACGAACGAAGCCAGTCGTTGCCACTTGTAGTCAAACTTACACACTAACGCTCATTAACTACAATTGGCAACGTGTGGCACCAGTCAGTCATCCGGCGATGAGGATGACGATCCCGTCAAAACGTCAGGCCAATTTCAATGAAATCTTCTACCTATCAAGCCCTTCGGCTAGATAAATAAAAACTGCGAAGTTCATAACAATGGAGTTTTTCGAGAAGAAGAAACGTTATTTACGGACAGCGCACTCGGACGGAAAGCGTGAGGTGCGGGTTCGACTCCCGCCTGGGGCACGACTTTTGCCCAAAACTCAGCATTCTTGTGTTATTTAGAATGTTTATACAATAAATGTTTATTAGAGAGGCTTGTGTTAGCTTGATGTTCTTCATGTCTGCGCGCGTCATTCGACGCGCAATACAGCGCGGCAGCCACGCCACGCAGCCAATCCTGAGGCTGTAGTGCAATTTCGGCTTGCAGTTTTTCATGACTGAAAGCGTGTGCAACAAAAAACGTGCGGACACAGAATAAGCTTGATGTTCATCGAGCAATACGGAACATCTTTATTGCTGCGCATTTCCAAATAACTAGGGGGTGCAGCTGCACTGATGTGGACCTGTTCCCCAGCAACCAGAAGGGAACTACCTCTTAAGTAACTGTACAGTGCTCTTGGTTAAAGACACATGATACGCTCAAACACATTGAGGGTGTATGTGATTATCAGCCACCCAGCTGTCGATGCGTCGTGGCTTCCCCGCCCGAAACTGCACGGGATTGGAGAACAGGGCCGTGGGAAAGTCTAATTTGTCCATGCTCCGCCTACCGTTTATGCTAATCGCGGCGCGTGTCGCGCGCAGCTCTCTTGGCTTTCTGCCAAGTCCTGCAATTGTCCTTTGGAAAACAAGGAAAACGCAATTTCCTGATGCGAATAACATTTGAGGTGTTGCTCATGCTGCAAAGTCCGTATAGAAGGTAATGAAGATGACAAAGGCTAGAAATGAAGAACAACGAATGTGCATGTAAATAAAAAAAAATGAAAAAATTAAGGAAATGCCAATTAAATGAAATCGCGTGTAAATTTCTGCGATCCGGCCCGACTCCGGCTTCAAAGCCACAAAAATACTTCAAGCTAATGAGTGGCTTTTTACTGTCATGTTTTGTGGGAATGCACTGCCTCTGAGGGATATTGCAGAGGCAGCACAGTTGCTCTTGAGTTCTAGCCCTCGTCATCATTCGTTTCTTATTTTGCAGCACCTAAAATAATCTACGTACCAGAAAATTGCGTTCTGATTGTATTTCAAAGCGCAATTACAGGACTTGACAAAGTGCCAAGAGGGCCGCACGCGACACGCGCCGCGCGGACGGCCGTTAGTATGAAGGGAGACTGCGCGGCAAGTTGCATTTTGGGCCAAGCATGGACGAATTAAACTTTCCCACGGCCCTGTACTCTACCCCGTGCAGTTTCGGGCGGCAGAACCACGACACATCAACAGCTGGGGAGCTGGTAGTCACATATACCCTCAATATGTGCGAGCGTACCATGTGTCTTTAAGAACTCAAGAAAAACGGAAAAAGAACTATTATTGAGAAAGCTTTCGCGAATGTTATGATATTAAAATCTGTAGGGATTTACTTGAATGCGAATAGAGGAAAGATTTTCTGCTGCAGAAGAGAAAATTGTCCAAAAAGCATCGCGTTGAGGACAGGGTAAAGGGGCTGCATGCCTGATTACAAACAATTTAAAAAAAGCGCGTTCAAATTTCCGCATAAACTCAATTGAGGCAAAGAATTACATAGCCACGGACAGTCTCCATTAACACTGGGAAACTTCTAGATGTTGCTGCTCACAGACACTCAAATACGAACGTGATCTACAACTGAATTTTTACAGTTTTAACTTCAAAATTATTCTTTCATTTCAGGATTTCATTTTGGCTGGTGTTTTTAGAGGATGTTCTATTGGCTCTACAGCTAAACTCCCTTATCTTGTGAAGAAGTAAGTTATAATACACCTTTCCTGTTCAGGGAAAACTCACATTCACAAGGGCAGACTGATCGAGCCGTCTTGTCGCGAGTAACTGCTGCACACTAGGGTCAAACGATTTCGGTCGTTCTGGAAGCGCTGAACCCAGCTGATGTCGCATCATCTCCAATTCTTTCTCTGACCGTTGAACAGCGCTCTAAACACCTACTCCTTCTTCATCGTACATACTCAATGATAAATATCTGAACTTACAGCGTAGGTGTCCACAGGTGGCTGAGGGACACCTTGCTGTTGATAGCCCGGATGTGCGGCAGCATGCTGGATCGGTGGAGGTGGTTGCGAATAGTTGGCTGGTGAGGAACCCGCGCCCGGAATCGTGTTGTGGGCGTGCATCGGCACATGGTAGCCATCCATTGACGGACCGAAATACTGAAAGAAAATCCAATAATCTCATAAATTAATGGGAAGCATTCAGCATATCCAACTTGAGGCTTACCGATACAGACTTCGTCGATGGGGAATTTTCATACGTTTCCGGCACATAAAACATGGGCTGCTGTTGTGACTGAGAGTTTTGAGTCTGAAAAACCATCGTATATTTCACGCTACACCCACTGCCTCAGATGTGAACCCACTGTGTTCCCTGATTGAAACCGTACAAATCAACTTGCTATCTAGTCCTTACACTTGAATGTTTCGAAAGCACAAATGACAGAGGGCCTCGCTCCCCTAAAATGTGCTTAACTCGAAAAAAAGTTCGAAATGGTCACGAACTTTTGGGACAACCTAGTAGCTAGCAGGCCCACTCCCAAGCAAAGATAGATAAGTACCCGAGCACAGGGTTTCCAATTCACTGCGTTTCACCACCTTAACACGCCTACCCCTTATTTCTCCATAATTATTCCTTGACTCAATCTTATAGCAGCAACCTATTCGATCTGCAACCTTCACGGCATTACACTGACAACGTGTGCACAGCAGCCTTCCGTAACCTCCACGCCATTCTCAACGCCACCAAATCGGAAAAGATTGAAGAATGTGTTAGAAACGAATACAGATACCGTGATGATGCAAAATAGATGATAGTGTAGTTATAGCGAAGTTCACTACAGATGGAGGGGCGTGCTAGGCGGGATGAGTTTAGCGCGGTGCCAAACTTATTCTCTACCCACTGTCAAAGCGAGCAAGTGACAAGGTTATATCTTATCCTCCGCACCACTCGTTTTCAACCAACTGTTGTTGCAAACCCAATGCTAGATAAAGGGTTTGTCGCCGCAGCACACTCATACTGGCTGACACGCCCCTTCACCCGCAACGAACTGGACTATAAAAGGACTGCCGGCGAGAGAACCTAGGCGAATCCTCTTTTTTATTAGGCTGGCGAGAAAGTTCTGTCATACTTTTTGAGCTCAAGTATTCGCCTATTACTTGAAGAGGGCCAAACGGTAATGTGAGCATTTATACATTAAGGATTGATCTTTCTAATAGTGTCACTGGCTCGGCTCCTGCTCATCCTCATTCTGTATTATGGACAAGAATGTTATCCGCTACCTTCAGCAATGACCTTCAAGCGCTTCCTTAAACTAATTCTTCTATTAGGTTGTTGCATAAGTTCTTACCACGCGTTTGATCCTCACCTATTCGTTCGCATGGACGTTGGTATACGTCATCACGCGTGCGCGGACGTGTACATTATACTCTTTCATTACACTAGCTGACACTCACCGAGCTTGCATTTTGCAGTACACAATGTTGCACAATTTGCACTGTGACAAAACGTACCTGCGCCACTGTTTGGTTTTGCTCCACGATTTCGCCTGGAATGCAAATGAAGCCATACCAAGCTGGTGAATACATACGGTGAGGACGTCATCTCTTACATGACATGCAAGAATTGGTTCGCCAAATTCAAGAGAGGAGACTTTTCTCTCGAAGATGCTCCGAGATCGGGTCGGCCGATGGAGTTGGATTTGGAAGTACTACGTTCCACCGTGGGGAAGACCCTTACCTCACCACCAGAGAAATGGCGACCATGCTTAGCTATGATCATTCGACGGTTGCACGTGGACTAAAAAAGCTCGGCAGGTAGCAAAGCTTGGTCGATGGGTCCCACATGAACTGTCCGCTTATGACCTCTCGAGGAGGGTGAACACTGCACTTCTCTTCTCACTTTCCAAAGAGGCTTCACTTTCTCAACTCGATGATCACTGGAGATGAGAAGTGGGTCCTCTACGATAACCCTGTGAGAAGCGGCAGTGTGTCGACAAAGGAGAACAGCCAGAAGCCACCCAAAGGCCGACCTTCACCCAAAAAGGTTCTCTGTCCTGTTGGTGGTCCAGAAGAGGCATGGAGTACTGGGAGCTGCTGGAGAAGGGACAGACGATTGACGCTTCCTACGTGACCCAGCTGGGCGGAAATTGAAAGATCACGTCGACCGTACTCGTGGAAGGAATGCGGAAATCTACTTCCACCATGACAAGGCCCGACCTCACACTGCAAAGGCGACCGCAAGCCGAGCTGGAGAAGTATGGATGGCTGATGGTCGCCCACCCTCCCTACAGCCCTGACCTCGCTCCTTCTGACTACTGGCTGTTCAGCCACCTGCAGCGCTATCTGACGGAAAAAAGTTCGAAACAAAGGATCGAGTCAGAAAGGCGCTCGACGACTTCTTCAAGTCCCAGCCTCCGTCGTTCTGGAAGGATGGAATCGACAAGCCTGCCTGAGCGCTGGCGTCCGAGTAGTGAGTGGTGACGGTGCATACCTCCTAAATCTCCAGGCTGGTTCGTTTTCGAGATATTTACAAAAAGTCGTGTATAAGAACTTATGCGACCACCTAATACCACCTTGGCGCCGGCACGGCAACTGTAGACTCCGAAATAATGGAGCTGCACAAGGACAATGTCTACAGTCATCAGACAATCTTCCACGACCCTAGCTCTTCAGAGCGGGAGCCTACGGTTCGAAAGACGAAATGAGGTTCGGGAGTACCTGTAAACTCAGCTCTAGATAGCGCTGGTCCGGAAACTACTGGATGAAGAATTGCCTCTTCGGTCAATCCGTACGCAAGGCAGCTACGAGATCTGAAGCGAATCGTCAAGCAGAGAGCAAAATCCATCGGCACAGTCCGTTTTAAACGTGGTGGTGCAGCACACCCCGTCACAAGAAGTTTGAGCCGTACTACATGCAATAGAGCTGGATGGCTCTCCGGTGTAGTCAAGACATTGCTCTTTCTGACTGCTAGTCGCCCCCCGTATTCAACCGTTATACAGCCGAGGAAACCTCCACGACTTGAGCCCAAATTAAAGTTGAGATGATTTCCAACTTTGCGTCACGCCGCCGTGCATGTTGAGCGATGGAATCCACGAACTGTCCAAAAACTGGTAAGATTTCTCAATAACATTGCCGTATAATTTTGATCTTGTACGCCTCTCTAAAAAAGAAAGTCTAATTTGAAAAAAAGTGACAGAACTTTCCCGCCAACCTAATAAACGGAAGGCCATCGCATCCTATTTAGATAAACAACAGATATACAGAAAAAACGCTGAAAACCTATTAAGATAAAAAAACCTACTTTATGGTACGGTGCTGGTTGAGGAGCGTACACAACATGTGAATCCCAGCTATGTAATGCTCCTTGTTGATAAGCTGCTGTTGGTATCGTAGAGTAAGATTGCTATAAAAGGAAGCTGGTAAAAAATCCTCTAAACACAACGTAACATTTAACAGTTAGCGAATAATTGTGACTAAACTGGATTTCTATATATGTAAAAGGTTCCTCGAATGCAGGCTGGTTTTGTTTCCAGTTAGGGCTCAACTGTAGAGGCAAAACATTAACGAACCGTGTGCTGCCATTGTGGTTGCACGTCGCCATCGGGAACCCTCCAATCAGCCCCATAAGTGACAGATGGAACCATCTCGTCATTATTGGTGTACCCTGAAAGCCGATCACCACAGTATAACTTATGCAAAAAATCCAGCTACTTTTCGTGTTTTTCTTCAGAGTTTTTTTCCAAACCCTTGAACTTTCTTAAAGTTAAAACATTCACGCAACCTGAGCATTATAAGAATAGGAGCAACGGAATGTGTGAAATGAATGATGAGCAGGTAATTTTACGCACTATATTTCCTAATATTTAGCTCAGCAGAAAACTCCTGCTGTTTACGAGTGTTTTTTCACAGCTTTCTCCGCCGACTACATTCTGAGAATATTGACGACCAATAGATCACTGAACAACTAACCCATTTGGCGAAATTGTTCCAATGTCTCCGCATCAAGCGCCTCGCCAGGAAGATCAACAACGTCAGGATGCGGAGGCAGCACACCAGGAAAAGACTGGTCCATACTGCCACCCCATGTAGCTGCTAAACGGAAAAGAGTGATCATGGCTAGAATAAAAAATAGTGTAAAGCTATCACACCAGACAACACAACTATTGAATATTATGAACCACAACCGCACCAGAAAGAGGCGAGGGGCGACATGCTGGGTTTAAGACTCACAATGCTGAAGAGCAACTCCTGTTCCTGACTGCTGTGGATATACCTGACGAACACCTCCTTGCTGATATCCAGCTGGTTGCTGACCATAGCCCTGGAAAAGGTGCATGTGAAGAACCAGCAGATACTGGGTACAAAGTCAAATAACAGCCTTTTAGGTAGCAGTCAATTATGACATTCACAAAGTCCCCATATGCAACAGCTTCTCTTCTTCTAGTAGGTTACGCGAAATTTGAAACTTCTTCCACCATGAGAAAAGAATTTCAAATGTCTCGCGCAATATGAGAGAAAAGGATTCTGGATCTCATGCGACATGTGACCTACTAAAAAGAACAGGGAAATGGTAGCAGAGAAAAAATTCATCTCCAAGTACTCATTAGTAGGAGCGCGTCGTACGTTGGAGATCCCCAACGGATCGTGCTTGGTTGCAGTATGGTGGAGGAGGTCGTATTTGCGTGGGGAAAGATGAACTCGTTCGTTGATTTCCTTGTTCAGGGCACTGTACCCCCCACTATATCCCCGAATTTGGGTGAATTAGCGGCAGACCTACTATTCTGGCGGTTTATCACAGTGGTCAAGGGCAGCAGCCTTGAAAGAAGCTGGTAAAAAAGCAGGTTGGTTATGAGAGAGATAGGTCGAACCGAGAACTTTCTTTGGTGATGGTGGGAGTCATCGTCGTCAATGCCGACATCGTCTTCACTCATAACGATTGTGTACCCGGAGTTTGAGTTTTCAGCAGAACGGCAAAATATATAAGCTCAAATTGAAATTCACGGGCGATGGAGAATGTAAAAATAAATTAGTCGTAATTGAAAAGATGGCTAAGTGGTTAATGGTCAATACAGAAAATATGAACCCACTTGCTGGAACGGTTGGTGCTGCACATAGATGGTGCTGGGCTGCGGTGGATAACCGGGTTGAACAATAGACGATTGCTGAGAGCCATGACCAACCTGTGGAGGGGGGTTAATTGATTGCGGTGGTTGTTGCTGCTGGTGATTTGAAGACGACTGCTGGGAGCTGAAAAAAGGATGACGGCATTCTTGGATGGCAATTTGTGCAGGATGCGCCAAAATTAGTGCGCGCAAAGTCACCACGGTAAAATAGTAGATTGAAGACTGGTTGCTTAGCACTAGTTTGCCAACAAAATGCTATAGCAGAACTCATACTTATATGATCAGATTTTTTTTCCACATTCACAAAAACAGGTCTACATCTTCTTCGCTGCGTATGAGGGGATGGGGGTTTTAGCGCGGCCGCGTTTGGCGAAGGCCAGCTCTAATTTTTCTTTCTGTTGACAAGCGGCAAGGCTGCATAAATAATTCGTATCAGTCGTTCACCACTTGTTGCCGCTTATCCGCTTCAATTGGTGGATAACTGGCTAATGCCGCCAAGCACGACAAGCCTCATGGTATCGCAACAAAGATGTCTATTGAGGTTTCAAATCAAAACTAAGGACGCACTTCACCAGTTGTTGAGCGACGTTCATAAAGTTGGCCGTATGTTGCTGTTGTTTCGCATGTTGGCTCAATGAAGTCACGCTAAGCGATGTCATTATGTGCCCGCCAGCTGCTAATGGAGTAGAAGAGCTTGGCGTCGCACAATTGCTACCAACTAGCGAAGACAGATTTGGAGCAGTCTGAAAGCTCATTAAACCAGTTCATAACTTTCTATCAATAGGCTACTCATCTGATTGTTTATCAGCTACACGAAACATAAAGAGAACTGTTGTAACTCAGTTCTTACCATAGTTTCTGACATTCGTGGATGAGTTTGTGGGAGCTCAGGCTCCCATTCAGGTTTCATCGACCAATCTCCAACCGTTGGAAAACTGAAACCATATAATATAGACCGCTAACATGGAATTGGTTTGTCTGCCTGTTGATCTAGTATAGTTTCTATTTGTTAAGAAAACGCTTCGCGGGTGTTGTGAGCAGGGAAAATCAGGCATTGGGCAAAATACGAAGAGGGTACGGTCGCTGGTGTTGGGTCGTATCTGTCATGAGGAGTCTCCTGACTTTGTACTGAATTCTGTTGATTTTGTCCGTTTTGCGCGCGCTAGATAGTTTAACCCCTAGTGGACGGAGCAAGTTTTGGGAGTTAGTTAGATCGGAGATGTCTTCACACCATACCCCCTCCTCATCCCACTAACTTGAAGACAAAGTGTTGGGGAAAATGTTGGTGAGAGGGGTATAGGTTGCGAAGATGATTATATGAAGGAGGACATCGGGGGGGGGGGGTATACAACGAAAATTCCCTCAACAATGAAGTGCCGTGATTATGAGGGAGACAGGGAATGAGAAAAAGGCGCTAGCAAAGTTGAAACCATTAGAAATAGAACTAAAGTAGTTTTAGTTGTGATAACATCTTCTATGAAGCACCCATTTTGCATAGGCACCTCGATATGGGTTCGCGCAAAGGGCGTAGAATGGCGGTAAGAAGAGCGATACTTCTTGGGAACTAAATATCACAGGACGAAGAAGAGGGGTTAAAGGACCTCATCCCTAGCAAGGCCACGAAAGCAGCGAAGGTTCTGGTATCAATCCGTTGCGACGGCGCAACCGTGGCTAAACCTTCCTTCCGCAATAAATGACTATCATTTGGCCCATTTATATTCACACTAAGAAATTAGAAACAAACAGAAAAGAATATTGAAGAAGACAGACAAAACACAGATGGCCCGCTTCGCCTGTTATCCCCAGACGAAGCATAGGATCCGTAGCATACAGGACGATGAAGACGCTGCGAACGCCGTGACAAGAAAGCGGTCGCCCCAATGAGTCAATTCTATACTGCAATTCAAGATATCTTGAGCGAGCTCTAGCTACTGTAAACCCTTGAACATGAGCAGGCAGGGATTGCCGCCACTGACAATGGGAACTGAAGCCTATTCGGTTTACCAGGAAGTGGTCCGTATGGGAGCTGTCGCAATAAGCCAAAACGAAAGACGAACAGAACTGTACAGTTACGAAAATTTTGCTGATACCATTCATGACCTCCAAGTTTGAAAAGTCCATCAAAAACGTCAACTAAGGTTGTATTACTGTAAATAATATTATCGAACTATCCCTGAGCCTCATATGTTGTAATATCTTCTTTGAAACATTGGATTGAGGACTCTTACACTTTATTGGTGAGCTTTCGCTAGAAGCTGTTAGCACAGCGAAAGCTCACCAGTAATTTCAAAGAAGATATTACTGTAAATAACGTTCAAACTGTTACAAATCATACCTGCACACTTCCTGAAACCCAGATGACATGAACATGCTGCTAAACATGCTCTCTTCTGGCACAAATCCGGTCATTGCAATAACGTCACCGAGGAAGAACCGCTCCACATTGTACAGGCGAGATGGTACTGAATAGCGTTCATCAAGTGACATCATGTGGTGTCAACAGAAGCTATATAAAGGTGAGGCAAAAAACACATCATTTCTTTCCCATCTAGATACGTTTTTGCGCACATCGTGCGCTGATGCTGCCTGCACTATAATAAGCGATAAAAATCACTAGCGCAGACTTATTGAAACCGGCTGACCATAACAGAGTTCACTAAATGTCTTCTCGAATTTCGACCTTCCGTGTCAGACCGCGTTCTTACTTGCGGCAGCGTCCACCAGCGGCAAACAGCGTCCACTACCGTACCGACCGATCGGCACCGTCAGCGAGTAACTTTTCACACCCTCGTCTTTCATGACGCTTCATGACGCGCCATTCACAGTGAACGTGACCAAAATGTTCTGCAGAGATCTGTTCCCCCCTCTATACGTTCATGCCATCTGTTCGAAAGGGTTGCCACATAGAGTATAATGAGTCAATGTACGCAAGACAATAGGCAGGTGATGCCAAACGGCGCCTTCGTATACAGGCATTACTCATTGAGTGTGACGATCCTCGTCAAAAACACATCAAATAAACATGAAAAAAGAAGATATTAACAAAGCACAAAAATCAGAGTATGTACGATCTATAAATGAAAAATAAAAACTATATGACATGTGGAGCTTGTTGAAAACCATAAGCAAGCAAACAACTCACTGTCAACATGTTTCACCTCCACTTTTCACACAAAATATTTAGTGAAAAGCTTCAAGTTTCCTTCCATAGTAGCTGACATCAATATTACCTGAAATTTGTGACTGGTTAAAGAAACAACCTGTGGAAATCTACCGAATGGCTTTTATACCACTTTTTCTTTAGAATGGACACTTTTCAAAACGAACAACATTTCTTGAAGCAAACAAGGTATTTTTGGAACCAAACTGAAAGCTATATGTTCCCGATAGTCTTATGTCATAAACCAGAGAATAGTACGTTTTGTTAAGAATAGATGCCATGTTTCTTGCTTTTTTTAAATTAAGGGACCAGCGACAAAGATTTAATGACGTACAGTCGGTGGCAGAGCCACACTTGGGAACTCTCTAAATCACCGTTTGGGTCAAATCATCACGTCGTTTGAAAGTGGTGCCAGTAAACAGCATGCCATCGCGAATACGCAAGCCACATTCGTTTGGCGTGAAAAAGCTTTGTGCCAGTACCACTGGCGCATATGCCGAATTATCGGTCCAAGGTCCCTTATGGATATATGACATCAGAATGCTTACATGGAATTGGGTGTCGTAGTTGTGCTCAGGAGTAAAGGCGATAAGCCATGGGAACTTAGACTGATACGACCTGCCGGTGACAATCTTCTCGCAGGCGGTTGGATTAGTGTATTGCGGCGTTTCCCTGATCGGCTCAAAAGTCAATAATCTATTTCATCTCACATGCCGTCGCAGCTCGTATACGATGTGGTCAGTTCGATTAAGAAAGAAAACGTTCAGATCCGTAGTGCACGCTTAATGTGGAAAGTGTCTGATTTTGCGAGAAAAAAGTGGAATTGGACTCAAAAGAGTCCGCTTTAAAAATAAGTAGCTCATATCAAATAATTAGCGTAAAGCTACAAAACTCTTCAAATCCACACCTTTAAGTCGTTCCGTTTTTTCAGTGCCTGCTTCAATGCTATCAACAAATAATCGGTATTTTGTTCTCGTTCATGTATTTCGTCCTGGAAATAGCGTTTGAAGTTTGAAAAATCAACATAACGCGAATTTTAAAGAAAAAAACAGGTTTCAGATAAGTTATATGTTTCGATTAAGTCAAACAAAATCGGATATATTATACTGTTCACAGCGAAAGATGCTCCGTATCACTTACGGTTCCTGTCAGCAAAATAAGAAAGAACAATTTCCAAATGAACGACAAAGGTATGACTCACAAGAATGATGTGGGATATATCACGAGCTGCATCATCTTGTGTTAGCATTCTCAGCAGAACACCACTAGTGCAATACGTGAGGACGGTTTGAGGTGAAGTTCTAAATATGAAGGATGACAATTCTTTCGAAGAAAAGGTGTAACCAAAACAAAACGGAGATTCGCTCACTAGAAGATTATCTCAGGACTGTTGAGTAGGCAAAAGTATTGAACGCAAGCGCGGTTTGAACCTGCACCCCCTTGCTCTCTGGACAAGCAAACTAACCATCACGCTACTAGGGCTACCTGTTCTCTCCTGTCCCGTACAAGACTGCAGTTATGGGCAAAAGTTTTGAGCCCTCGCGGGGTCTGATCCCGCACCCACGCCTTCCGGACAAGTACACTAACCGTTACCCCACCAGGGCTGCCCATTCTCACCCCGTTCCTACAGGACTGCTGAGTCACGGACAAAAGCTTCGACCCCAAGCGGAGTTCCCGCAAGCCACGCTTTCGGGACGAGCACACTAACCGTTACGCCACCAGGGCTGCCCATTCTCAGTCTGCCCGTACAAGACTGCTGAAGAGTGCTGAGTCATAATCAGAAGTCTTGACCTCACGCAGGACCCGAAACCCACCTCAGCTTAACAGCTTTAGAGGCAGCCTTTCAGCACCCACACGAAAAGAAATCAATGTACTAGAATTAAGGAAATGAAAACAAGTAGACATCCAACCTCTGCTCTAGGCGAATGTGATAACCAACAGTTGATCCAAGGCTTTCTCCACGTTCCCTAGCCACCCGATTTGCTACAGCTATTGCTGGAAGCCTGCGCGGTTGAGTACACACAATTCGCAGCGGCTGATTATTTTCTGATGCATGCTCAAGCAGAAATTGTGGCACCTGAAAATTACATTTGAAAAAAAGACAATTAAACAACCAATAAGTAAAGATCAATGGATGCTTCCAAAATACATCTACTCTAGAACACATGGAGCGGAACTGAAATGAAAACAGAAGTTATGCGATGGAATCAATAGCATAACAAAAAGAATTTAAAAGTGCAAGAAGCAAAAAAACAGGTAACTTTGTGTGGAATTATTGAACGCTACTTCAGAACCAGAGATAAACTATCACTTCGTGGATTACTCGTTCAGCCAAGTATTAAAAAATCAATTATGAGTATTGATTGCTGTTTTAGGAAAGCTAACTGGAAAAAAACGCACCTGTGTGGTTTTTCCGCAACCAGTGCCACCCGTGATCAACACAACTTTGTGGTCATTGATAGCACGCAGTACATCATCTCGCTGTCTATACGCAGGAAGCATCTTCCTACAAGAACGGTCCCTCCAGATAAGTTTTACAAAAAAAATCAAAGTTCCTTTTGGTATATAAGGGTCACAAAAGTCATGCCCTGACTGTAATGTATCCTACTTGAAAATGCAACCATCTTGAAAAATGTCATTGAACCAAAAACAAACATACCGCTGCTGCTGCATTTCTGTACTGCTGTTACTTCGTTGCGGCACAAGCATTTCGGGACGTTCCCTGTTACTCATGTCTCGCTGAGAGCGATCTCGAGCTAAAACGGCTCTACATTTACAGTGATATGGGCACGATTGGTGGCAAAACAGTGTTAACCTTTCGGGGCGGTGACATGTCGTTCTATGGCCGAACCATATATGGGATACTGAGAAATGAACCGCGACAACTGAAAAAAGCAGTTATTCGAGAGGATTATATGAACCAGACGTATCGTATGGGTAGTTAAAAACGTGCATATAACATTTTGACTGGAGATGCTAGATTCCATGAAGAAGATGTGGAAATTTGAACAAACATATTCGCAAAAACAAATTCGGGCATCTCTTTCTACACGCCTTTACATATCAACAATATGCCCACTACGGCTTTGGTACATTGCAGCTCCAATCTTCATCAAATAATCGCAAATTATGAATGTAAAAACAAAACAAAACAAAAGAGGCACCGAAATTTTATCTCAGAAAAACTCCAAAGATCAGAAGAATCCGGAAGTTTTTTTAGTTTTAAAAAATTTTATTTTTTTCGAAAACTTTTGGATCTTCGGAGGTTTTTTTTTGCAATGAAATTCCGATGCCTCTCTTGTTTTGTTTTTACATTCAGATTTCAACGAGGTTCCGAGATAGCGCGATACTACAATCTTGAATTACTTGAACCGTGACCCTCTTACATTACTACTGCCCACCTTGTTAGCCGTTCGTAGATGTCTTTCGACCAGAACATCGAGTTTGGACTTGAAGAATGGAACAATTTCCTTTTCGATGTCCTACTGTTGGAGGAAATCACAGAAAAGGAGATAATGGAAGGGAGCGACTTCTAGAGAGTCTAAGTGGGAAAAGACAGCCCAACCGCAATTCGCAATTTCATTCTTAATCTTCATATGGTTTTTGGAATGACATGTTGAAAGCACAACATGCTTCTTGGCGTTCTGTCTGTCTGCATTTTCGGAATGATCACTCGTGAAGCTTAGCAATGTAATGTGATGTTGGCGATGTCTATACCCATTAATAATGTTCACCATTCGGAAACATTTCATTCAAAAAGTGGCCACTTTCAAGCAATTTTATTGATTTTCCACAATGGTCAAAACTTACCGTCTCTCGAATTTCGGGAGTCAGTCGAATTGGTTGTGTTTCGTTTGCACCAACAGCTGCCAATCGTGGAACCGGACGCCGATGAACGACACATCGCCGGTTGGGCTCCCTGCTACAAATAAACCACTTAGGCTGTGCTATACAAGAAATCAACTGACTGCGTCACAGACCCCTCGCTAGATGTTTGCAGGCCTTTTCGTCTAGCCAACTCGTGCAAACGACGCCGCTCCGGACGTTCCATTGGAGGAAAACAAAGCTCTAAAAAAACTCGATAGCGATCTCAAGCAGCTGGCTCAAACATGGTAAAAATGAGATAGAGAAAAGAAGGGGATTATTGGAATGCTATAAAAAGGAAAAGAACTGTCAGCGGATTACCTGTCGTATTGCCATTCAAAAACTCATCCAATTTTGCCGTCACTTGTCGCTCCCAGTTCGCATCGATTAGCTGCACATGTGGACCATACTGTGGATTTTTGAAGCTTAAAAATTCTTTTGAAAATACCAGTCATGAACAAAACAAATAATGAAAAGAAAACAATGTTTGATAGTCTCAGATACTACTCCGGAGTGACAGCTCTTCGCGCAACATGAAGTTGCGTCTGTCCACCCTTGTTGAATAATTTGCTATATCACAGCGGCTGTTGTACTGCAGAAATACAGTTCCTCAGCTTCCCAACCTCATCCCTTTTGTGGAGAATTTTTCAGATAATACACCAAGAGTGTTTGCAGTGGTTGCAGACTCGCAAAACTAACTTGCCAACTAAGATACCGCTAGCTAGATAGTACTGAGGACTTAAACATTAGTGCGCTCCCATTTCTGCGACTCATCCTTTCTCGTTCTTGACAATCCTCAGAAGGCTGTGGCACAAAATGAAATTGAGCTGAGAGGACAAGAAAATATCCGATACGTTATGGATGACACACCCGCCCGCTAAGCGGGAGATGCTGGTTCGAGTCCCATCCCGGGTTCGGCTTTTGCCCATATCTCAGCATCCCTGATAACTTTCGAGGCGCTGAACACTATGGAACAACGTAAAACATGGAAAAAGCCGTCAGCTAAGCCCACTGCCGATATCTGTTAATCGGCTCATCACGCTGAACGTGTGAGTCCTGCAAGGCTATGGCACAAAATGCCATTGAAGAGAGTGCAATAGTGGATCTGGTATCGTAATGGATGACGCAACCGCCCAGTAACCGGGCGATACGGGTTCGACTCTCGTCCAGGGTCCGGCCCATATCTCAGCACTCTGTGATAACCATCCTTAGAATACCCGGTCATTTTGAGAGCGGATCTATAAACTTTTGCGGAGTTATTTCCGCAAAAGTTTGCGGCAAAAGTTTGCGGAGATATGCAAACTATTTTAATATGGTGAAATAATATAGGCTTCATATCCAGGTCATTTCTCAGTGGTTTCTTACTTAAATGTTCGAGGAAATGATTCTGAGCTAAATGAGGATTTTTATTCAACCCTAGGAGAAGGAGCTCTTAAGTGGGTGAGCCGAGTTGTGCAAAAGAGGCCACGGAATGAAACATGCCGCATTTCGTAGCTTTATAGGAGTTTACAGCAGCACAAAAATGCCTAAGACAAACTGTGGTGACTGTGGCAAAAAGAGATAACTCGCGAACATAAAGCTTTTCAACAGCAGTGTTACTAGAGCTCGCGTTCAAGGAAGTGCAGTACCGGCTCAGAGCATTAACATTAACCGTGCAAATGCTGATGCTACTTGTAAATGTAAATGCTACTTGTATTGTATAAAACGAGGCTCACATCTGTGGCTGTCTTGTACCATCACGTGAAAATGGTTACTACTCACCCGTTGGGTTCATCCCTATCGAAACTGTTATGGTGGTTCCTCGTACGTCCTTTACCATTTCCATAGTAAGCCATAATGGCTTCCGCTGCTCCCGGTAGTCGTACGTACTCGGTTCGACTAACCTGTTGGAAGCAACGTCCTGAAAGATAGATTAGAACATGCAACACGAATATTCGAACTGTGATATTCCTTGAGATGGTACATAACGATCCCTGCGTAACCAATCAGTTCCCTCGTTTTTGAAGGTCAGTGTGCAAAAAAACTTCGCATTCAATGTTCAGATACCCAGAGCAAAACCGGTGGTTCTTGAATACTCGATCACAATCATGATACCACTGAAAAAAGGTGTTCCTAGTAGATATCGAAGCGCGTGATCGAAATCGCAACGCCATCAGTTCAGTAGGAAAACATACATTCAAATATTCATCACTCATGCGAAAGAGATAAATCGAATTACCAACAACCTTACCATAGTACACATTGCTTGAGCATGAATCAACCCAATTAATACAAAAAGCAAGTAAAAACACAATACAACCCGGAATTGAAAGTATAAAATGGAAAAGATTTGTAGCACTTTTTGCTAAACACTATTCAATAGAAATGTAAGAACAGAACAACAGAATACAGAGTTCTGAGCTCAAACCAATAATAAATTGAATTTCTTTTTTTCAACAAAGGAGGGAGGTGGAGAGAGGTCGCGAGCAATGACGTCCTCGTCCTGCTACGCCTAGCGATATCTGAAAAGCAGCAGTCCGTTCTGATGAAACTGCCTGACCTCCCCGAAGCATCAACCCAGGAGCTATCCTCGAGGCTCTTCCAATGACAATCTAGCCCTAAGAATTTCCCATTACTGCACGATGCCGCGCTAAACCTGGATATTTATTCAACTCGATGATAGAGCAATTCTATAACCCTGAACCCTTAACTAATCTACAGGATTTTTCGGGGCTCATATCTGGTCCCATATACGAAAAAAAAACTGCACAACTAAAGAATGCGAAGGCAAGCGAAACAACTTTCACCAGCATTCCAAGAAAACGAGGTAACATGAAACTGGAGGTTCTGACATGCTGAACGTTGGTCACAACATCCTAATTAGTAAAACAAGAAGTAGTTCATAAAAACTTTGGTCTACCTTCCTGTTAGCCGACTTTACCCTTTCCTCTACCTAAAGGCAGTTGGCACGACAAATCCTTTAAAACGGGTAGGACTAATACACGTGGCAGGACGGAATTCCGCGACCCTGAGCAGGCGCTACATTATGCCTTTTCCAAGGGAGGTGCCCTTTACCCTTATAAGGGTCCTATCAAGCCACAACTTCCCGACCCAAACGCCCATCACGCCCGTCCGCCCAAAAATGGGCGACTGTTCCTGACCCTCGATCTGATTCATTTGCTAAGCAAATTATGGACGAAGAGATTGGTATGAAGCGCCCCTGATGCTGCATGGATATATGAGTACACATATGCAGCCCCACCTTCGGTAGCTGTTATTGGCAAAGCGCCTACGGAAAACTCGTCCAGAGTTGATTACTAACACAGTGTGAATGGAGGATCTTTTTTCGCAGGATTGTGAAAGTTTCACTCCGTTCTTTCTTCATTTCTCCACTCTATAGCACCATACTAGCATTTTTGGCCGAGTGAAATCATCGTGCCAACTGCCTTTGAGATTAACAGGAACCCCTACTTCTTGCTCAACCCATACTAATTTAGTGAACATTTCGTTGAATCCTTCTGCCGAAGGCGGCGGATTTAGGAAAATAGGAGCACTACTTTTTCCCACCTTACTCCCGGTTTTATGTAACTCATTGAGAACGATGGATGTAACATGTTATGTTGGACCCGCAAAACGAAAAAAAAAGAATACACAAAAATAACCACCGAAAAGACAAGAAATACAAGCTTAACTAGATCCTGAAATGTGGTGTATTGGCCCACAATGGTGAATATGAGGATGTTACGTCACATGCATTAATGCATCGCTCGACTCGCACAATCACCTCGTCCCCAACATTTTCTCGATACAACTGTATTAATTCTTCGATCGCACGCTCCTCGTCTTCGATGAAATGTAGCGGCCTCGAGATTCGGCGAGTTCCTTCAAATACAAAAAAAAGATAACGACATTAATGGTTACAGAGATCTCATCAATATAGAACCAAAGGTTCATGGTCACTAGTTTTGAACTGATCTTGGTATAATGGACGTATCAAAGTTCAGGTTTTTTTTGAACGCCTTCTTCGGGGCCCTTTACGGAAGTGTCCGGTGGAAGGCTCCGAAGATGGCGAAGCGGAGCTTTTGTCTAATAAACGTCTGTATCAATCTCGGGAGGCAAATAACTAAACTGTAGTGGTACCATTAGTTTTGTGAGATACACAGAAATAATGATGAGGACAAATGATGAATTCTTCGCTGTTGGTCAATCGCTTATGGTATGCGCACGCATTCTACCTCCATTTAGAATCGCAGTGACGTATTGAATAGATGTGGCCCTTTCAATGACACGCAGAGGCCAGGCGATGTACAGGTTGGTATTCTCATCCTCCCAGACGAATGTCGTACCAATTTGCCGTTCCCGGAGGGTAGAAGGCTTGGTTGACCCGCACAGGATCTGCGCGTTGTAAGCGCTGCCCTCATACCTAAATACCTCATAAATACCCGTGAATCACTGAAGAACGTCCAAGACCACCACCGTAATATCTACAACACTAGCACCTATGGTTTCACAAAATACAAAAACAATTTTTCTCTAAAAATGACCAAAAACATACATCCAGGGCATGACTGTAGGTTAGGTTTGCAGCACTGAGTCATGGAAGGCCTCGAATGGATTTCGCATCCGCAGCTACAAACCGCTTGAAAAGACGCGGAGTCTAATCCCATCCAGCGCCAAAATTGTCCCCGACTAAGCATTTTCGGATAACACCTGCGTCAGTTACCTTTGAACAAGGCAGCTAACAAAACTAAAGGCTGCACTATAGAAAATTGTTTTTTTTTCTCATGGAAGAGAAACTGCAGCAGCGCACCAAGGCATTGTTCATTTCATTATATAGCGTATGGCACCGCTTAGCGCGTGCACCGTCTGGCAGATGGCACGATAATTTTTGTCCAAAATGGCAGCAGGGGCGCTAAACAGTGGAGAAGTGGCGCAAGAGCGAAGTGAAACAGTTGAAAACCGAAAAAAGCCTATGTTCCACACAATACAGAAAGTTTTGGGCGAGTTTCCCTTTGGTATCATGCCAATATTCGCTACAGCAGATACGACTGCACCTGCTGTACTGCACTCATCTATCCGCGTAGCATCGCAGCCGCTTCATATCACTCCCTTCGCCTCATATTGTACTTCGCAAATGAAGCAATAGGAGCATGGATTGGTCGGACATTTGTGGGCGGGCGCGGAGGGCGTCCAGGTGGGTATGTTATGGCTTGACAAGGCACTATAAGAATACATTCCGTGGAAAAGCCGCCGCACCGCTTGCTGAGGGGTGACGAATTCAGTCCTGCTAAGCGTATTAGTCTTACGGAGATATATCGTGCCAACTGCCTTTAAGTCACGGGAAGACTGCCCAAACTCCATTACCGGGGTTGGTCGAATGTCTGTCCTTGTCTTGGAAGGTAAAATCATCGGTTCGTATGTAGAGTGGCCCTAAGTCCTGCCATAATGAGTGGAAATAAGTGCGTCGTGGTGCATCCCAAATGAGATTGATCGACTCCGAAAGCACTATTTCTGTGCTTATCCGTAAGAGAAGAGCGGTGTTGACAGAATCAGACAAGAGAATGAGAGAGACCTTTGAGAGAACGGCGCAAAACACATAAGTATGGCGAAAATGTACCTTGCTTGAGTCGATGCTCCTCCTCCTTCATAATTTCAGAAAACGAAGGCTTCAGTGGAGCTGGAGCAGGCGAGAACGATGGAACTGTCTGAACATAACAAGGAAATATGACGGGTCACTGGAAAACGCCTTGGAGGTTAGCACACTGAACACTGCGAGTAGAAAAAAACGCAAGCCAACTCGTTTCGATTCATAAAAATGTCACGTCAATGAGCCACAAAATACATCTGCGAGAGAAACATTTGCATACCCGATATAATCCAGGAAAAAACAGCCTAGAAAAACTAAAATCAGCCAGGTTGCAAAACGAGAATTGGGCACGCAACGAACTCCGTGCACACGGGGCTCAATGTGCTAACCTCACCCTCACAAATTTATTGTTCATACCAAACTATTGCATACACTTGTAAATCAATATAAACAATGTGAGAGATCAATAATACTATTCGTCCCAAATGCAGCATACCTCCGACCAAGAAACTTTTCCCGATGAACGTCTACATCGCGTGCGATTTCCTTCTTGTTTCAATAAGGGAGACGTTGCCTTCTTTGGTAGTTTCGCGATTTCCGCTTCTTTTTCGAAGATCTCCGACAGTGGCGTTACATCGAACTTTTGATGAGCTGTCGTAATTCCAGCCCTGTTAATGAAATCATTGAAGAAAAACAGTTCTAGATAATAAGAATAATAAAGGAAACAAGCTACAACCGATATCGTAACCTAACAGAACAGAAAGTCCAGAAAGAACTTGCCATGGTGCGAAATGTGTGCCTCGTTCCGGTTCACAAAGGAGATTGCTCGCATCGCGGAATTTCGCTCCCTTCGGAGTGAATCTGCCTGTACCACGCTTCTTCGGCGTAATGACGGCCTCATCCGGTAAAACTGACAATGAAGTGGGGGCAGAGGGAGAGACAGGGGCATTCCATGTTGTGCGCAGCACGGGTGACACTGATTCCTTTTCTTCTCTAGCGGATTCCAGTTCAAGTGGCTCAGTATTCTTGCGCTGAAAAATAATTCTTAATCAAAGTCCAAAGCTTGCTAAAATAAGATGAAAGCTTAAATGAGTGAGCATTTCCCAAGAAGATGAAAAGAATAGAAGCCCAGTCTCCAGCTGCATACAGAAAAACCTTATGACGAACAGATTTCATCACATGACTGACGAATTACGTCGATAGAAAGGGAGCGACAGTCGTCACCAATAATCAGAAAAAGCTAGGAAAGCCTAGAAGATTTCAGCAAAAAAAAGAAATGGCTTTTGTACTATATCATCTCATATATCTCCAGTGGTAGGCCTTTCGATTGCTCCACCAAATCGTAGTTTATCTGTGTTACAAGTCTTCAGCCGACTGCCCTTCAAACCTATGTCCAACTTTTTCCACTCGCAGCCTTTTCGATTTACACTCACCTGACTGGAAGGGACACCGTTCCGATTTTTTGACACTGAGGAAAATGATACAGTCTCACTTCAAAATCTCCAGTTTTCAAACCAGGGCCTTTTTCGTACGATTCAGGAACTTTAAAACAACAAACGACGGACGTTCAAGCCTCCCATGACATTTCCCAAATCAAAATGGACTTTTCTGACCCACCCAAAACGCCTTGAAAATAGAACTAAACAGAGTCTAGTCTCACGGACATGTCGCGGGAAAAGGAATGCGTTTCAGGAGGTCTGCCGATGCAAGGACCTTTCCTTTTCTTCATCCTCTTTCCTTATTTCTCACTTAACTCGTCCTTACTCTCCTCCCTTCAAATGCTCGGCAAAAAAAATGCAAAGAGAAACTGTCTTTGAATCCTACCATCGACGAAACATTCAGCTGACAGATGCCCTGTAAGCGTGTGAGTAGCGCAGGGCTGACCACTACTAACGCCAAAATCGACAAAGTTTAGATATATATGTATGTGAAAAACCATGGCCAATCTAAGTATAAGTAGAAGTTATCGTCGTTTGAACATGATGAACATCCTACATCTCTTTTCGTTATTGGGCTTGCATCAGAAACCTTTTGCACAGGATTATCGTACTGTGATGAGTAATTGTAGAAGTACAAATTCCAAACCCCCGTCCCAGATCCCAAGAATCATTTCTAAAAGTGTGACGTCTTCCCGTAACTCAGCAAACCAGAAGCTAAGATAAGGTATAGGTGCAATTACAGACTGCGGAAGCTGACAAGGATAAGACATCGCAGCCCTGTAAGAAGCGTGGAACGATAAAACCACGTTTATGGTCGACGATTCTAGCGATCCACTCAACAAAAGGGGGGGGGGGGGGCAAAAGAGTCATTTCGGCCGAGCCACATATCAACGAAGTTTTCGCAGCCACAGGGGAAGTGGATATGAGTACCAGAGTGGAAGATACCCAAGATCTTCCTCTATAAGCTGCTGCCGCCAATCGCCTTCATCGTACGCCAAAATATGAAGTCATCTCCAGTCGCGGCCTGACTGAGAACACCTTTGGAATTCACGTCGCCTCCAAAGAGCTGCGAAATTTCTGGTATGGAGTCACCCATGGATAGCTACCCGGAGACCAGTTCTCAACCTGGAAGACCTCCAACATCGAGCAGCTCCGACAACGTCCTACGGTCTAGGACATCATCTTCACGGCAGTCGCCAAGGCGCGGGTTGATGGTATGGACCGGACGCACCTGGAATGGAAAGACCAATATTTCCTTCGCGGGGCCCGTACTAAAGGTGAGCGCTGGCGATTACATCGACCAACTCAAGAAGAATATCTTCTCCACATGTCGTCGCCCGTACCTTCTTGGAAACTTTGTACTGCTACACCATTGGGTGCCATTACGTGGAATCGAAGGGCGTTGGAGAAATTCTCGCCTCCTGGAATGGAAGGGGGATGAGTACCTAAAGAAGATGGAATATCTAATGTCACCTGACCTGAATCCCCTCAATTACCCGGTTCGGGCGGAGTTCAATAGGGTGGTCTACGGTGGCGGAGAAATCGACTATCTCGCTGATCTCAGGGACCACATCGTGATTGCGTGCACAATCTCTCGATGGCGCTCCTCTAGAAGGCTGTGGCGGAGTGTCATAATAGTATATAATATTTAATATGCTCTTTAATACGGTGGTAGAAATGTCCGATTAGAATTTATAAAGTGTAACTTATAGCGCCTCGAAGGTCAATGAAGCAAAGTGACTTTTTTTGCCCCCCCCCTGTATATAATAACAATATACACTGCGTCCCATAAGTATAGTTCCCCCATAAATCTAACAATATCCCGCCCTACACGACGTTTTCAAAAAAAGCCTCTAGATAGAAAATGTGGTAACTACCAGTGCCAATTTGCATGCCAACACCGAGAGCTAACTTTCCGGAGCAACAGTTTCTTTATTTTTTGAAAATTTTTCACTTTGACAATGTCCCAAAAGTTAAATAGTTCCACCACATATTTTCCCACTGCGTCTCATTTTTTCGGCTAAAACTGTCTCATGATCATTACCTTTCACCCCAAGTTATGGTGAGAGGACATTCATTGTAAGACTTCGAAAAAAAGGCAGATTATCGCAAAGAAGGCTCAAGGACTGTCGAAGCGTCAAATCGCAAGGGAGTTGGGCCGAAGTCATGATGTCATCAATAATTTTGTCAGGGAACCCGCAGGATATAGAACCAAGGAGAGCTCTGGGCGTCGTTTGCTCCCTGATCGGGAAAGCGCCGTACTTTGAGAGAAGCATCAAATTCTACAGTGTCATGTCGGTAAGTAAAGTCAACTTCGAAGCTTAGCGTCAGGAAACTGTTCGGCGTGTCTTAATGAAGTCCGAGTTCACTCTCAGCAGGAAAATGAGGAAGGCAGCGTTCCTGACAGTACAGCATCGCAAAAACCGAACTGCCTTCGCCACAAGACCGACAACCGAACAGCTGCTGCCGAACCGAATGGAGTACGGTTAGCTTACGGCAGTGGTGCCCTACTGCATGTCGTCTCGTCTTTTCAGTTTTCTTTTCCAGATCGTGTTTTCTTATGAGAAAAAATTCAACTGCGATGGTCCAGACGGAAATCGACATAATCTGGGCTGCCTTCACATCAGCGGGACGTCTAAAGTTGTGCTTCGTATCGAAGAAAACGAATATCCGACTATGTAAACCTCATGCGACGAGGTCTGCTTCCTTCATGACGAAGGATTCGGCATGAAATTCCTGTTTTCATACGAGACAATGCACCAATTCATGTCAGCCGAAGCATTCGAGCGTGGTTCAGTCGTCATCAAATCGCTCTTTTGCCCTGGCCAGCGAATAGCCCTGACTTATACCCAATCGAGAATGTGTGACGCTTCATGGTACGCAAGATATAGCGAACCATGCACGATTCCACAATGTCCGTGAGCTCAAGGAGTTAGTAATTGATGCGTGGCAGCATGTCGACCGAAAACTGATTTGTAACCTCTATTCGAGCAGAAACGAGCGCATTTTCCAACTTATTCAAAGGAATGAGACTTCAGTAGATTACTGAATCAGCAATTTATTCATTCTGCTGTACATTTGTTGTTTTATGAATTGATGTTTAGTGGAACTATACTCCTGGGACAATGTCAAAATGAGAAATTTCCTAAAAATAAAGAAAACTGAAGTTGCTTTGGAAAGTTAGTTCTCAGTGTTGACATGCAAACTGGCACTGATAATTACCATATTTTCTATCTAAAGGCTTTTTCGAAAACGGCGTGTAGGGCGGGATATTGTGAGATTCATGGGCGGAACTATACTTATGGGATGCAGTGTATAATAATAAACTTGGTTATCAGACCAAACTTGCACAGCAAAGCAATAAGAGGACAAATTCCACAGAAAATGCTCAGATTTTGCAGCTATCCCACATAGCACTAACATCATTAAATTCAGTGGAAATGGCGTTCAGCGAGGTGTACTGAGACCGTTTTGCAATGCACCGCGTCATTTCGGCAGCCTCGGAGTTGCGAGATTTCAATCATGATAAAAGGTATTTTCACACCGGTCAGGTTCTTTTTGCAGGTCGTTGGAATCGATGCACATTTTTTTACGTAATGAAGCTACTGTGAAATAATTCTACCTATCAAGTATAAGTCAAGGGAATGATGTGTACCCACTCAATGTAAACTCTATAAGCGTATTTTCTGAAATGGGGTATGTCAGTAGGGAAAACGATTTTCTCTCGCTTATATCAAGAATGATCCCTGAAAAAAATCAAAACCTACATCTAATTCGTAATCCTCGGCCTCCACAAAGGTTTCCGTTTGCAACTCACGAACCTCTTCGACAATGCTCTTCGACAAAGAGTTGTCACAAATTTCTGACTCTTCCTGTGGAAGAATTCAATAAATCTTGGTAAAAACAGTCAAACAACAATGTGTCTTGGCAGGGAATGAACACAGGCCGAGGTGCTATCTATTATCTCACTACATATTAACGGCTTTGTCTGTCTATCCGGAATTTCGGTATCGGTTGAATAGTCAGTTTGAATGGTCAAGAACCTCATGAGTGGGACGTAGGTCAAGATGTACGTTACACCGAAGGCAGAAGATGAACCCCACCCACAGTGGGCGTGCCCTTGACCATAATGAATTCCACCCTAATGAAAACATCCTAACTCGGTTTCAGTACACCCGAAACACAGGAACAGCGGAAAAATAACAGAAAACGGTAGGGAACGAAATAAGGGACATATACACCGTGTGCGCTGGGTTGACTCCCAATAGGTGGCACTTGCTACAATGATTTTATGTTCGGTCCTGAAATAGTTTGGATAAAGGAGTTAAAGACTGATAGAGTAAAGAAGCATCTGTGTACGGAGACCATCTTCAGTGGGTGGAGCGTGCTCTTAACCAGGTGTTACCCATTTTAGCATTTCAGCGTGTGTGTGCGTGGTAGCGGCTCCATTTGCCATTACCCTCACCTTTTTCTAAAATAAACCTGTTTACCTTGAGGACAGATGATGGCGTCGCCACCTCAGAGCCAGACTGTCGAGAGCTCTTCCTTCGGTCTCGTTTTGACGCTTTGATATTGTCACGTTCAGCAAGTCGCGAACGAATGGTCATCACTAGCTCCGGTATCGATGTCTGTAAATGTAAATACGACATAATGAAAATCTATCTGAGCACTACTTTGAAATATTCCGATGAAAATAATCAAGGATCCAAACGAAATCCAGCCATGATCAAAGGACCGAACAAGAAACGATTTGCAAGTAGCTACTGTCGAAATCAAAGCAAAATAAATGTCGTAGCTACTTACATCTGGTGATGAGGGCTCGAAGGAGAATCCTTTTTGGTACTCATCTTCAAGAAATTCCTACAAAGTAAAGTTAGAACCTAAAACTGAAGCTGCAGTTGTCAGTAAGCAGAAGCAAACTTTCCCAAATCTTCAATAAAATCACTGAAAACTTACAAGTAACGCTGCTTCCAGCAATGGATCTCGATTCTTTGCACCGAGCAGCACTTCCACGACATCCTCGTTTCGAAAAAAGCACCACTGCGCTCTGCGGTGATCCTCCAGAATATGGATGATGGGCTATAACACTAGACACTGAATCGTATGCTGAAATGAATGGACCTGAGTCCTCTTTTCAGTGATTCTTGGCGACGCCTTTATTCTTTCTCTATGCCCTGCTTCTTCTTTTCCTTGCTTGAAGTTCCTACCAACGTTTCGGAAACGCTAAGGATGTTAGGTTCCCCGTCTTCAGTCGGCCTTATTCGGATACTCCCACATTTTTCTATTAGGTTGTCGCATAAGTTCTTATACACGACTTTTTTGTAAATATCTCAAAAACGAACCAGCCTGGAGATTAGAGGTATACACCATCACCATTCACTACTCGACGCCAGCGCTCAGGCAGCTTGTCGATTCCATCCTTCCAGAACGACGGAGGCTGGGACTTGAAGAAGTCGTCGAGCGCCTTTCTGACCTGATCCTTTATTTCGAACTTTTTTCAGTCCAGATAGCGCTGCAGGTGGCTGAACAGCCAGTAGTCAGAAGGAGCGAGGTCAGGGCTGTAGGGAGAGTGGGCGACCATCAGCAATCCGTACTTCTCCAGCTCGGCCTGGGTCGCCTTTGCAGTGTGAGGCGGAGTCAGGTTGTCATGGTGGAAGTAGATTTTCGCATTCCTTCCACGAGTACGGTCGACGTGATCTTTCAATTTCCGCAGCTGGGTCACGTAGGAAGCGTCAATCGTCTGTCCCTTCTCCAGCAGCTCCCAGTACTCCATGCCTCTTCTGGACCACCAACAGGACAGGAGAACCTTTTTGGGGTGAAGGTCGGCTTTTGGGGTGGCTTCTGGCTGTTATTCATTGTCGACCCACTGCCGCTTCCTCACAGGGTTATCGTAGAGGACCCACTTCTCATGTCCAGTGATCATCGAGTTGAGAAAGTGAAGCCTCTTTTGGAAAGTGAGAAGAGAAGTGCAGGTGGTTACCCTCCTCGAGAGGTCATAAGCGGACAGTTCATGTGGGACCCATCGACCAAGCTTTGCTACCTTGCCGGGCTTTTTTAGTCCACGTGCAACCGTCGAATGATCATAGCTAAATGGTCGCCATTTCTCTGGTGGTGAGGTAAGGGTCTTCCTCCACAGTGGAACGTAGTACTTCCAAATCCAACTCCATCGGCCGACCTGACCTCGGAGCATCTTCGAGAGAAAAGTCTCCTTTCTTGAATTTGGCGAACCAATTCTTGCATGTCATGTAAGAGATGACGTCCTCGCCGTATGTATCCACCAGCCTTGGTATGGGCTTCCTTCGCATTTCAGCCGAAATCGTGGAGCCACAACCAAAAATTGTGCGACATTGTGTACTGCAAATGCAAGCTCGATGAGTGATAGCTAGTGTAATGAAAGAGTATAATGTACACGTCACGCACACGGTGATGACGTAATACCAACATCCATGCGAACGAAATAGGAGAGGATCAAACACGTATATAAGAACTCATGCAACAACCTAATAAGATCCTTGTTCTTGAAAAGGACCACAAATCACCCGGTGTAAGACATACGTGCTGTCTTTCCCACTACAGCGTAGCACGTCTCTCGATCAGATCATCCAGCCACGTTGGATTTTCGCAGCTCTAGATTATTAGAACCTTGCAAAGGCCTTTTACATGAACAGGGAAATATTTAGGGTTTATCGAACGTTGTATGAGTCCCTCATCTCTACGGTGCCGTAGAAATCTTTCGAAGTCCGAAAGAAGTTGTCTGAGCAAGTTTCAACACTTATGGAATCTGATTTAGAAAGATGTTTGACCCACTAGCATCCGCCAAAAGCAATGATTTGGAAATTCAGTTGAGTAGAATGGTACTGAAGGATAAGAGTGACTTTACTAGACATAGTTATCGTTCCCACGGCGAGGTACACCACACGCGGATTGATGATGACCATACTTTTCGGGAGACTTGCACGACTGTCCCTTCCCACACTTTACCAATTTGTCTTTTCTGACTTTGAAGGAACATGATTCAAATAGAGTTCCTATTCACGACACTTTCCGAAACAGTCCCATTTTAATTCAATTATTAGTTATTATTAATTATTTGCCATTTTATTAGTCACATCAAAGACGGATAATTCAATTTTTCAACGATCTCAGATTGAATTTTAGAAGGAACTCTGGATGACTTCCTGACTATGGGCCAAACTGCTAACGCTGAGTCTGTGGTAAACAAAAGCGACACAATTGAAGCCTTGTTCACAGTGAATGAAGAGGCTAAGAGTTAGCGCCCGAGCTCGTTCTCCACCAGTTGTTGAAGCGGGCAAGTAACAACTGGACGAGGCAGAAAACGGTCCACACGAAAATATTATTCATTATTGTCGTATGCCGAAAAAAAGAAAATACAGTTTGGCCAAACCCGTCCGTCTCCCCTTGACAAGCCCCCCCCCCCTCCTGATCCACAGCGAACAAAACTGTACTTCGCTGAATGGCATTCATTACCTGATCATTTTTAGGAACGTTAAAAATAATAAGAGGTTGGAGTTCATGTTTGCCCAACCTATCACTTGCATAACAATTATGCATGTTCGCCAGTTAGTTGGTCTTTTGATTTTTGTGGGGATACACCATTGTGGAGACTATCAAGTAAAGAATGTAATTTGCAGATTTGGTATGAATTCAAAATGACTTACCGGTTGCAAATTCGCACAGTCAGAAGATGTAATGTTAGGTGAGTCATCGCCCACTTCCAAAGCCGAGTACGCAAAAACGCTAGAACGATCATTCGTCATGGATGTTCTGTTGCGAACGGTTCCTTGACTCACTCTCGAATCAGCTCAATTGGTGCTGCTGCAGAGTTTTTCCACATAGTAAGTAGGTGTAAATTATTGTGAAAGTACTTCGCTATCAAATGTCGCAATTGCGGAACCGCCTCGAACAGATCAAAGATGAAGTTCATATTGAACTCGTTCACTGAAAAAAAAATTGAACTACGCCATATAAAAAGCAAGAACAGCCTTGAGAAGCAATTCTCACCTCGTTCAAATATGACACGTAAGGCGTCATCGATCACAGCATACAGAAGATATTGATCGAGGAACGGCAATAATTCAAGAAACTGAAACATGTGGGCTATGTTAAGACACTGTCAGATAGGAACACGTGGGGGCAGCATATGAAATCAACTAAAGCCTGAGCTTGAAGAAGACTTTTGCACATCATTAGCAAGACACATGAAACCCATACACAAACGACATCACAGTTGATCATGATACCTCATGTATCTGAAGACGACGGAGATAATTTGGATTGATGATACTCAATAGCGTGTAACGAATCACGTTCTCTGTAGCAGATAGTCTTAGCCTTGGTACGTCAGCATCGTGATAGGTGAATGCTACGCCGAAGTAGGATGACTGCATTTCCAGTATACTTCTGAACACTCAAAATGACATGGAGAAGTGTAAGATAAGATTAAGAAAAAGACAAAAAAATTTCCATGGGGCTCTTCGTACTCCATCTGCTACAAAGTAATGGTGATGATGCGCAGCTATTGACTCGACGCTATAGACAATCTGTACGGCACCTCCGTGGATCCTGATCCTGGCCATGTGCGAGAGGAATGTTACCGCAGCTGCAGCAGCATGTCGCTCAGAAGTGCAGAAGAACGAGACTAAAGAGAAGTGATATCCGGTGCGACTCCATACTCCGCTTCGCGTTGCCAACCACGCGCCTAATCATAGCAAAACGCGCTCCTTTACTGCCGTCTCCCGCTTCTGGCTGTTCTCTACGGCTGAGCGCGTTTTTTTGCCGCAGTCTTGGCGTCCTTACAGCGCAGGCGGAGTATGGGGACGGCACTCAGGAGCCTCTATACTGCATTCTCGATCCCTTGCACTTTTGAGCGAAGAAAGTTGTACGCTACCGCAGCGGCGAACCCATTCATCTCGCACATATAACGGACCGTCTTCGGAAGTGAGTGTACAGTTTATCTTCGGAGTTTATGCACCTCCTGTATATTGCAGCATGTAAAGCATAGTTCGCAAAAATATCTTGCAATTCAAGGGGAAAACAATAGCCTTCAGCCTTGCGGTTCACTACCGATATCGGCTAACCGGCTCATCATCACGTTGTACGTGTGAGTGCTCGAGCAATAACACAAAGCCATTGAGGAGACGGCAAGGGTGGCCTCGGTAGCGCAATAGGGAACGCAGCCGGGCGGCAAGTGCTAGGTGCGGGATTGAATCCCGTCCGTGGTCCGACTTTTGCCCACAACTCAGCATTCTTGTGAAAATATACTATTCAAATTAAAATGCTGATGTCGAGAAGTCCGCTGCACTGCAAGCTTATGGCAATAGAAAACAAGGCGCAGTTTAGCTTGCTGGGGGCAACGAATGGTACTTGGCAAAGTTTTACAGGTCACCACCTTGCGAAGACCTATTACTTCCTGTGACGAAAACGGCTCACTTGCACAAAGCTCGACGAGAGTTGACAGCTCTTAGTATAATGAGAGTTAACATTTAGTTAACAACCGCTAAAATTGCCCTCCTTCCCACCTCCCTTCCAACACAACTTAGTCAACACTAAGAAGCCTTTAGTTGAAAGCTTAGTGTAGGGACCCTTCAGTAGTACATGTCTCGAATATTTCGAAAACTAGTTCCTTAGTGAAAAAACGAAGATAGGTACCGAACAAATTCAATCTCCACGCCTTCCTCCGAAATCAGTACGCAATCACGCTCAGCAGCGAAGTCTTCCAAACACAGCAATGGCTCGCCTATTTTGTAGAAACCACCATCCACACTAAAAGGCACCCCTATCACTCGACAAACATTCTCCACAATGACCTTCGAGTGGCTACCTGTAAAGAAACGAAAATAGCCAAAAAGGAATAACTGCACAATGAAGGAAACCTGAGGACTGACCACGATTAACTACGCGATTTTCGTTGAAAATGAGATAATCGTGAAATATCTTGCCACTTTTTGCAACGGTAACTTCCCTTGAGAGCTGGAACGAAAAGATCAGAAATTGTCAGTTTTCCCTTCAGTTCTCAGTAACCGTCATCAGTAGCTCTTGTTTTTGAGTGTCTTTGTTCAAAACAAGTCGCCCAAATGAATGAATCTGCTCTCAGGTATCCAGATTTTCAGCTTACGACACGAACAGGAAACGAGCAGAACATATCCTTTTAGTAGATGACACTTACAAAAATACAACTGTTCTCATGAAGCAGCAGCTGAATCGCTGTCGCCAGAAATTATCTCAAAACAGGGATTCCTTCTCAGGTATTTCAGATGCTCCTAGTGCGGAGTTCTAGCACAAAAACCTGTTGAATCAAAAGATACAGAGAATAGAAGACAAAGTTTGAAAAAAAAAGCTGAAGACAGGCATCATATCAACTGTCGCCCCAACAGCAGTTACTAAGACTATCAGCGACCATTACAGTACGCGAATCTTAAGGATATTACATTCAGTAGTTGGAGAAAATTCCTTCAAAATAATTGGGCCTACAAATTCCTCCATTCGCACGACCATATGCTACCAACGCTCACGCTGAAGTCCCTCAAGATCCTGTCGTTAACGCGCGAAAGGGGAAGGTACCTTTGATCAACTATGGGAAATAGTGGTCTTGTAACGAAACCGACTAAGGGGTGGGAGAACACTTTCTCGAGCCAAATATGTCCCCCCCCCTTACCCTTATGTGTAATGAAAACGTACTAGTCAAAATTAAATGAAGAAAAAAAAATCTTTGTATTTCATACTCGCCCGCTATTCTTAAAAGCTTTCATGTACCACATGAAATTTATTGGGATCATAGCACATCTGCAAAAATGAAGTGTTCCAGGAGGTAATCCGTAAAGTAAGTGAAAAGGGGACGCATCGAAAGGTTTGATGTCACTATTTTCACAATGATTATGCGAAAACAAAAGTTCCTTCTCTAAAAGCTTAAAAACATTCGACAGTCTCAAAAAGCAAACTTTTGGACTTACACCCGATACAATCCCATTCATAGCACCTATCAAAAAGAATCACGAGTAACCATGTCCTTTGCAAAACTTCAAGCTTACAAACACGAAACCGAACGATATGCCTCACATCCTCAATCCATATAGTGTTGCCATCCCTTACAAATTTGTCCAAGTTTGGAAATCGTGTCCTCATGAGACTCGCGAAGGTACTTGTACGCTTATCATCCATATCATAAACCTAAAAGCGTGGTTAGTAGTGTAAATATTCAGTTCAATCATGGATTTCTAGACTTTAGTCCAGACCCATAACGGTCTAGACCAAATATTTTGAAGAAAGTACGTGGAAATCCAGCGGTATTCTATCCAAGCAAGCGTTTTCTCGTTCCTCATTGAGCCTCGCAAACTGAAAAAAAGTTACACATAGAGAAAGAACTGAAACTAGTGATGTGAAGACAGTCTAACATCAAAGGTTTCCCATTGTTCTGAACGATAAATCGTGGAGCTGTTCGTTACATATATTAAATTGTTGCCATCTTGCGAACATGCAAACGATGAAATCATGTGAGCACCCTGGATTTCCTAAATGATGAACATGCAAATATCAAGTTAACTTTCGAAATTGAATTGTACTGAGTCACGAACCTGTAGCAGTAGAAATACATGAAGACCAGATGTCGTTGAGTCATTCACATACGCACTTGTGAAACCATCTTCCACCACCTTGTCTTCGATAAGTATAACTTTGCCACGGTAAAGAGTATAGAAATCCTTGAAATGGAGGCATTCTTTTACACTCAACAAATATGGTAAAACAAACTAACCGGGCGGCAAGTTCCAGGATAGCCCATAAAAATTACGTCGCCTGAAATGAGTTAGCAATATGAAAAAATAATACAATATCGAAACTGCCTGCTAGCTATCGATCACAAAGAAAATGTTGCATGGAATTCTTGGTAAGTCCGCTACAGGAGATACCTTTAGAGTAATGCTTTTTGAAAAAATGTGAAATACAAAGACAACTCAAAATACCACGGAATTTATCCAGTGAAACTCCTCCAATAAGACCACAATCGATCACATATGGAACGTTCTTGAATGAGGAACTTGTTTGTTCTAGAAAACTCTCTAGATCTTCAATGGCGCCCAGCTTCTTAATTCAAATTTTCGTAATGCTGGTGGGTGGTCCTTCGAGCACGCAGATGCTCCGGCTAAAGTTCTCAGTTGCTAGAGGCACGCGTCGCGTTTAGAAGTGGTGACTTGTGCGGTCTAAATACTAACAAAAGGATGGCAAAAGCAGCGCGAATAGCATCACATAGATCCCCATGCAGAACCGCACCTGCACCTGCATAAGACCAAGCATCGCGGCGTGGCTGGACGAGTTCTCACTTATTAGTGCCAGCCCTTTCTTCCCATCACTTCACTCTAACCACTGTAAACGGAAACAGTTAGTAGCGGAACAACCATACCACGAAAAAACTTAAGAAATGAAACTTTGCGTCGCCGCGATCAGTGGGCGGTTCCGCAGTTCAAACGCGAGCGGGCTGCTTTGCTCGTGTATTTCTGAGCTGCGAAATCATTACATCTTCCATCCTTGCAGGTACAACTACCAAAGCCAAAGAAGGCGCCTGAAGTTCAAAGGAGGCGGGGCGTGCTATTGAGAAAGTATTCCACCATTTTTTTTGGCTTGTAGGGACTGCACATTATATATACACAATTTTAGATATCTTTGAAGACGTTTTGGTCAAGAAGAATTGAAAGTTCGAGAACGTTATCTGCTCCCTGATGTACACCGAAGATTAGCGGCATTTTTGAAGGGGTATGTGACAAGAAATCGTAATATGCTGCGCATGATTAGCCGGCATTTTTATCGCCGTAACCTGCTGCGCATGCTGCACTATGCGCCGCGCGCGACGGCACAGCGAATTGCGATTGTCTTTTACGTCTCCTCCTAACAGCCTCATCGACACACTAGAAAACACCTCCCGATGGAATCATTGGTGTAAGAATGGCCCAGGGATAGGAGATTGATTAGATTTCATAGGCTGTTTGACCTAATAAGCAATTAGAAGATAATCAAAAATTACAAGCAAACCTTTTGCTGTTACGTTGTAATCGACGCAGTGAAGGTTGACAAGTACACCATTCACACTTATCACACACGGCTCCAGAGGTGCTCGACCACTGTGGGGATCAAAGGTATATTTGAGTGTGCCAGAACTATTACAAAGGGTGACCTTAAGAAGACTTGCAAAAGCCGTGACAACAAAACTACTAAAAAATACCATACCACTGAGTCTGTCAAATTTCTTCTCTTGTGACTGAGTGTGACAGTACTGACTGGTAAAATCTATAATAAAGTTACGTTAATAAAGACATGGACGAAACAAGACTATAGTAAGGAGATGACATTATAGTCTAACATACCGCTGGCACTGCGCCAGTCGCAACGATTCCCAATTCGCAGGATGCGCTGAGACAGTAGGGATCTGATCGGATAGCTTCATAAATTTCTGGAACGAGGAAATGTGGAGAAACCTCCTAACTTATTTGGGTTCGCATGATAGTATTAGCGGGCCATCACTAATGTGTGGAATTTGAGAACAAAATCTCTTAATTACATAGCGTCAGTAACTCTCCACCAGTATGGAAGGTAAATAGAGGGCGACTGCTTAAAAGAATTGATTCCTCATCTGAAAAAGAGACAATTTGCTTACCTAAACTCCTCTCTATTCTTGTAAAACTCTCGCAAATTCTGAGCGGTGTTTTCCCAGTGATCCACACCTCGCTCGCGGGATTGACAAATGAGTAAATAGCTGTACAATGAGCATTTGTGAAGACCTAAAGCGGAACATTCAAAAGTATTTTACGCAACATCATACAACTTCCAGGTATTTTTCAAAGTAAAACATTCTCAGCTTTCTAGGATAAAATATACTCCAACGCTGAACTCGAAAATGTTCGTAATCGTGGAACAAAATCTAGCTAGAACTTTTAGCCTGGGAAATTTGTTTATAAATAACACAAAGCACAAAAGTAAATAAGCAGAAAGATTGTCTTCAGTGGTAGTCATTAAATGTACCCTTTTCCAACTAACCTTATCAAAATGAACCCTCTTCACACCTTCAGGAAGAGGAACTTTAACCTTCGTCAGTGGATAGCGGCATTTATCCTTTTTCAGACCGAGGCAATAACTTGAATTCAATCCGCACACGTACACCTTAAAAAGACATGTTAAAGAGTATACATTACCGATAGCAGTAGATCAAGCTCATCCGCCGAACACCAAAGATCTACTCACATAATCAGGAATGAATGACGAAAGCAACACATGAGGAGTTAATATTTGAAGGCTTCCGAATCAGATGACTCTGTAGGGTCAACCACAACAAGAGCGCACTTATGAGAATTCATTCACCTTCAGTCTGGCATCATACAATCATCAGTGGAAAATCAATCCACGTGACTGACGTCTTTGTATGACAGAGTCTCAGGATCGAATTTCTACAAAG